ACATACATACATACATACATACATACATACATACATACATACATACATACATACATACATACATACATATTACGCCAAAACTCAACAATTTCACAACATTCCCATTGGTGGTTGCCACTGTGCAGGCCCCTGTCTTTTTCTAGCCAGGGTTGTCGTCTCTTGCTCAAGGACACACCCCAGTCACCACCCATGTGATCCCCTTCTGTCTATACATTGAATACTTGTTATTTTTAAATTTCTATGTTTCCCTGTCCATGTATATATACATGTTAAACTGAAAGATTAGACAATAGATCTTATATTTCTGTCATATTGAAGAAGGACGTCAAGTTGTAAGTTCTGACTTTCAAAAAACGTCTGTTAAGTAACTGTAAACAAATTCGTATGTAGTCTACAGACCCCCCCCCCCCCCTTTACACACACATACCTTTTTATTGAAAAGTAAAAACGCAATTGATTTAACTGCTTTTCTGCTTTTGCTTGATCAAATTGATAACGTTTGTTGCTTATTACTGCCGCTGTACAACCAAGCAGCGTGGCGTCGGTAATCTAGTGGGCAGGCTAGCAGGCCCGTGATCATGAGAATAATAGTGGCGTGAGTACAACAGTCTACAACTCTACAGAGCTGTCGGTGTCCCTGGGGATCTAAGCTTTAAAGTGGAATGAACTGAGCTGGACAATGAAATTTTAGTAGGCTTCTATAGAAAAGTCGTGTGCGCCAGCGGTCGGCGGGAATATACAACTATAGGCCTACTATAGTACTTTGTACTTTCAAAAGAGGCTTTTAAAAAGGCTATTTGTGAAAAGCAGGGTTGAGAACTGGAGTTGGAAAGGTGGAGGGAGGTTAATGTTGATTGATTACATAGCCTAGTGATTGACTGATTGATGGATTGATTGGTTGGTTGATTGATTGATTGATTGATTGATTGATTGATTGGTTGGTTGTTTGGTTGGTTGCTTGATTGATACGGTGATTGGCTGATGTGGTTGATTGATTAAATGATTGGTTGATTGATTGGTTGATTGATTGATTGGTTGATTGATTGATTGTAAGATGTAGGGGATAGCGCGTGTGTATCGTCGCCTCTGTTCACAGGATCGAGAACGCCCCTTTGGCCCTGATGGCCGTGGAAGGGAGCGCGGGGACTCTGACCGACGTCTTCTCCAGCTCCACCGAGTGGACGTTCGCAAAGATGACTTTCATCTCGGACCAGATACAGATCCAGGGTTCGTCAGGGCTCTCCTTCGTCAAGTTTATGGTCAGTGTGCTTTGATAATCTAAATCATGACTTCAACACTTTTGTTATGTGTTGTAATCAGTTTATGCGTATGGTTACTACAATTTAGCTTCCTTTGGCTTTTCAAAACATCATGTAATGTAAATATACACTTTTGGCAATCCTCGAGGAAGAAGCATGTGAGTCAGGAGTCAATGTGAGTCATATTGTGACTAAAACATTCGATTAAATCATCATCATATCATACAGAAAACCAATACTATTCTTAATTAAAAAGTTTGATAATTTATGAGCCACGAATTGTTGATAATGCCCCCCTCCCCATCTTCATCCTTCTCTTTACTTTTTCAAAAATAACAATTGTGTGACGTAATGGTAAATGTTGATATCCACGATTAGGTTTAGCAATGTGACCCAGGGCGTTACACGTTGTTAGTACATGTAATAGGTATTTATTCACCTACATTCCACGTCTCAGGACGTTAAAAAACAACCACACCCAATTATAAAAGCAATTCAACTTAGTCTGTTTGAGGAATTTTCACCTATCCACACAAATGGCTCATCTTACCAATCTTATTGAAGATGGAACCCCCCCCCCCCCCCCCCCCCAAACACTTTTATGTGATAAAGTGAGCGTTGGTTCCGCATTATATCATAATAATACATGTATCACAACTTTTAAAGTGTTAAATTCCTTTATTTTTCACAGGTTCGGTTAGAGCGACAGTATACATTCTACATCACAAACATCGTATTTCCGATCATAGGCACATCCACGCTCACTCTAGCCGTCTTCTGGATCCCGGCAGCTTCAGGAGAGAAGATCTCCTTTCTCACGTCCATTTTCCTCTCCCTGACCATGTTCCTGTCCACGGTCAGTGATATGATGCCCCGTGGGGCGGACAACCTCTCGAGGTTCAACACATTCATTGTGATTGTCGTTGCCGAGAACGTTCTGGCTATACTCGCCACTATCTATGTCATGCGCAGATATCAAGAGGAGCAGGAGGATTTGAGTCAAGTCCCACCAGCGAGTGTTGAATACTTCCCTGACGACGCTGCAGATCCCGTTTATGATTTAAGAACTGATGAAGATATTAAAATTCACCGACATTTCAATAGGCCTATAAATGATGGGCGATCAGACTTGAAGGTAGCGCTTCCTCGTGGGAAAGTAGCCCCCCTCGCTTACGCGAATGAATCTGCCCGTCGGAACTCTGTCGTAGAAAATGACAATGAGTCCAGTAGTAAGTCTAACTTTTCCCGCGTGTGCAGATCTATATTTTTCTGCTTCTCTTGCAAAAATCGATACAGCTCAAAGTCGTTAGACCACATCTTTTTTGTGCTCTTTTTATTTGGAAACATTGCTGCGCATAGCATGCTTGTCTGCAGCTTCGCTATGAGGTCCGATTAGAATTAATACTAATAGGCCTACATGTATAAACTTGAAGTGGGTGAGCAATAACCAACGTGCATTACCGAAAGTTTTGCTAAACTTCTAAATTTAATTTGATAATGGTTTAGTACGGTTGAGAGCGGCCAGATTTTCCGCTATGGAGGGGCAAAAGCTACAGCATTTTGGCACAATTTTATCAACCTCCAAACGGAAACATGTTTGATTTTAAAGTTAACGATGGGTTCCAGTTTGATCAAAACCGTGGCCACTAGCTAATCAGAAGGATTCAGCACATTATGTAGTCAGATCTATAGTTCGTGCGCGAAGTATATGATAGGTCCCTCAAGTGTTTCTGTCTGCCTGTCTTACTATTTCCCCAGCACAAAATGACCATTATTGTATTGATGGTTTTTCTCTTAACTCAAACGAACAAAAAGAAAAACACTTCATGGTTAAATTTGCTTTTATATATATATAATATATATATATATATAATATATATATATATATATATATATATAATATATATATATATATATATATATATATATATATATATATATATATATATATAAAACAACAGGTCGGTTGGATTTTGTGTGGAATAGCCCTTGCTATTACGTGACCCCACCCGGTTCGAAGTAACAGCACATTAATTGATCGATGGGCATCCGTTCTGAGGCTACTCACGAGTATAAGAATAAGAAGGGAGATTTCGTTTTGTTTAAAGGAGAGACTACGACAAAAAGTAACCTTGGTCCTGCTAATCATGGCATGGGGACATGACGATCTCAGTTCTGGCTACAGTAATCAGCTTTGGTCTACTGTGGGTCATGTAAAAATGCAGTTAGTTATATTGGATAATATATTCCTTTGCTTCATTTGCTTTTTATTTTCTAGACTATTTAATTTTGTTTTAGAATTTTGTCGATGTTTGAACTGCTGTATAGCCGAGCCTGTCTGTCTGAATGCCTGCTATGCTATAAAAGAACTTCTATTCTACATTATCAGAGACCAGAACCGCGGATTTATTATAAGCATCTTAAAGCCGTGACTGTTATAAATAGGGCCCACACCAAAAGCCTGATGTCTATACAGTTAGGCGGTTGGGGCCACTGTAGAAGGTTACATCGACTATATCGTATACGATTATTTGCCTGTGGGTCTATTTAAATTTTATTTGACTTTATTGTTGGTAATAAATAATTTGAATAAACTCCATTTGGAAAGTGTCATTTGTTTTGAATTCTTACTCAAATGTTTCACAAAGGCATGTACATGTACTTAGAAGAAGACATCGGTTTGCGGGCAGCTAGCAAGACAGCGGCCACATTCCACCAGGAACAAGATGGCGTGACACTGAAAAGAAAAATGGAGAGGAGCAGACAACACCGGAGCACGCACTGACTGCCCGGACTTATTTTAAAGAGAGAAGTGAACGTGAAATCGGACACTTGAGGCAAAACCGAAAATTCTTCAAATGAACAAGTTACATACATGAATATCATGTACTTCAAATAATAAATGATGTGACAAATGCACCATAGTTCTAGGAGTATTCTTGTGTTTTATGTATGGCTGTTTGTGTACACGCGTAGCAGTGTGTTTGTGTTTGTGTGTTTGTGTGTGTGTGTGTGTGTGTGTGTGTGTGTGTGTGTGTATGTGTGTGACACAGAGAGAGAGAGAGAGAGAGAGAGAGAGGGGGGGGGGGGGGGAGAAAGAAAGAGTTAGAGTAAGCGCAAGGTTTTTTGCTGTGTTCAGGAGAAGAATTATATCAGCGAGGTGAAGAGAATAAAATTGGACATGGCAAATATCAATCAAGACCACACACCTCATGTATGCGCACGGGGACAAGGTCTTTAAAAATAATATTATATCATCACGATTGTAAGATAAATGCGCGAGTCATTTTTAGCCATTCTGAGACACTGAGTATAAGAAAAAAAACCCACCTTTCTTTCCAACAACTGACTCTAAGAAATGCTTGAATTTCAGTACCCTCAATTGAGTTTTTGTTGGGATTATTCTTTTGTCCAAGTGAACAATACATGTCATGTATTATCATAAGCTGGCTCTGCTCTTCGATTCAGAATAAAAAACCCCAAAGCAGCCAAGAAACTGACATAGGCAATCTTATGAGCGTGGCGTAACGATGAGTGTCCGTGTGTGAGAGCGCACGCGTGAGCGTTCGTTTGACTGTGAGTACCACGTACGTATTATAATATGCAGTGGTCCCCGTTCAAGTTTGAACAGTTTTTTCCTTACAAGAACCCGGCCCGCTACAGAGTCCGTTGTTGCCTGATTACGGAATGTTTTGTCTATAATTTGCATGCCTAAGAACCACCTAGTCTAAAAATTAAAGTCCGCACAAAACTAAGAGCCTAGTTAGAGGTACCAGCACTAGTAATGGTAATACATACGTACATTTCTCACAACGGCCAGCGTCCAGCTTTAACAGTCTAAATAAGTGCATGCGAAGAGACCAACTTCATGCCCGCGTCAAGGAGTTCTCGTGGTCTAAAGGTACGGTGTTCGCCTCTCGTTCAATAACTCCTGGGTCAGAAATCTGACAGTGACGAACATTTTTTTCTCTAAAATTCTCCTTTCACCTCTTTTCCTGCTCTCTCTAACCATGCTGTGTCTTCTGTTTTCATCTCCACTTTCTGCCCCCTCCTCTGGGCCCCTGACTCTTTCTGCCGCCTTTCTACTGCTACTCCACGGCTCCTTCTTACTGCTGTCTTCCAGCCACATCCCTGATCTTAGAGTAGGCAAGATCTAATACCTAGCTGTCTCGGAAAAGGGTGAAAAAATCTTGGAGGTACCGTGTGCAAGTTGCGCACATTAAAGATCCCTTGGTGGTCTTGAAATCGATAAGAGCAGGCTTCGGCCACCATCCGGGCAAACTTCAAAATGAATTCCTACGAAACTGAAAATGCTTATTAAGGTGTCCTGCACGCTGATATGATCCAATGCAGTTGCCAGCGCCGTAAAATACGTAAAAGAAAAGAAAGATAGGTCCGCATCAGAACCGTGACTATACTGACTGTTAAAAAGTTCAATTAAACACAGGCACTGTGGAGGGATATTAAAGAGTTTTAAGAGATACAGATGACAGTCACAATACAGTACACACACTCAAACACTAACAAAATGACAAGAGCACACTCATATATCATTATATGGCCCTGCAAACTTGCGAGCATCATAAAACTTTGACCGAACTAAGCAAAACTGACAAGATCCCTCCGTCTATAACCAGGTAGGCCTATCCATTCCCACCTGGGTGCAATGCATTGCAAGGACACAACACCAAGCCCATGACGGGATTTGAACCCATGACCTTATGGTTGAGAATACCAGAGCCTTACCACTCGGCCACCGACCCCACATGCATACATAACGAATATAGCCATTATTTTTAAAAAGATGTTGACTAGCAACTTATAACAACATAGAGTTTGGTTCTGTTTCTATTTCTCCCTAGCATAAAAAATTGAAACCTTACAAGTACCGGGTACCCTAGTCATGGTTCTGATTTGGGAAATTTCTTTTTCTTTAATTTATGCCACGCTTGAAAAAAAAATTAATTGAGTACCTGAGGAATGAAGAGTTTTATGGCACTTGCAACACAATAAATAAGGTCATAAAAGAGCCGAAGATTAGAGGTGTTACAAGAGAGAAACAAACAAAAAAAGGAGAGATCAGGACCATAAATGTTTAAAAGGAAGAAGCAAACCACACCAGAGCACCCACCGATCACCCACACTGAAAAGTTTTATATAGTTTATAAAAAAGGAACAGAAGAAGACCACAGCCACTGGCATAATTTTATTGATACAGCATTTGAGTTCATGAAGTTCACATTGATGCCAAGAAAGTAAGAAAATATACATGATACACTGTACATTGTTACAGTCATAGAAGTTTTACATTTTTATTGAAATACGCGTACTTGCAAATGGGAATAAGAGAACAAAAAATACCGTAAACCCCAGACAGACCAACCCCGGCCTCCACCCCTGAAATGAGTTTAAGTTTAAGTTCACACCATCGATAGGGTACAGGGATGCGTATATTTTGCAGGAGAAAATGTAGGAATAGCAGGGAGAGCGGGTGCAGACAAAACAAGTGCACACACACATATAAAGAACAGACCCTTTCAGTGCTTTGGGCTAAACGAATCTTTGGTAATCTCACCCCACAGTTTAAACTAAGAGCTGCCATGCGCTCATCAAACAAAATTTCCCCCCCCCTCTAATCCGCAGTGTACTATTTTACAACAGGTTATCATTTCATGGGATTATTTATTACCCCACACTACATAAAATATATATCTTCTCCAACCTCTTCGCGTTGAGACATTATAACCAGCACGCACATGAAACTGTTCCATTTTCCTCCACAAGTCGCAATAAGAATCATTTCACACACAAACAATGTCATATGATTGGACTAATATATAGGACAATTTGCAGCACCACAAGCATCAACTCATTGGAGTCAGTAGGCAAAACATTCATATACACACACCAGATTAATTGAAAGAGCAGGTTAAGTCTCTATTGGGAACAAAATACAAAGTTCATTATTGAAAAACAAAACAAACAAAAACGACCCAAGAAAGGAAAGCTTTGCATTACTTCTGTGCACTGCTTTCCCATAGCCTATAGGCCAATGGCTTGTAAATTTTTTTTTGGCTCTTCACAAACTTGTCCAACAGGTTTGTAGAAGTTGCAAACACGCTGACAGTTATTCTAAGACCTTCCTGGTATGTAAATGGAATCATTTTCAACCAAGAAGAGAAAGTTTCAAATACTGGAAGCAAGAAGTTCTGCGGACAACCTACAGCTTATCTATATTATATATATGCAATTCACGTCTACACATCACAGACCATTTGTTAAGTATAACAAACACAGAGTGAGCATTCATCATCCTAGCTGTGAACAATGATTCGTTCACTTCAAAGCATTCAGCTGCTATTCTAATTCTGGGAGTTGAATGAACATCTTTGACTAGCTGGATATGGTGTGTAATCAGTACCAGTAAACAGGTTTCTTCAAGCACCCATCTAATCAAGCATAAATGGGGGGAGACATCCATATTCAGACTGTTGAAGCAGTTTTACACCATTGTCATCTTAAAGATAAGAGAATTGAGGCAGCTTTGACAAACATGAACAAAGCAGCTCCAAGCCGCCATATCCTGGTGCATTATAGACTTTCTCCTCCATTTCTTTGAGAAAAGAGGACTATAAATCAACACAGTGAGGGTGACTTTTGTCTTGAAACTGAAAGACAGCAAAATAAAGCTTCAGAAATAATAAGGAGTAGGAAAGAAGTAGGATCTACTAGTACACACACAATCCTATATCCTTCCACATTCAACCCCAGTCGTAGTCTATTTCCAAATATCAAATTTACACAAACACAACAGTGCAGAGCAATTTGCAGTGACCATCAAATGTAAAAGGCACAAATAAAAGGAAACAAAGGTCTGAAGTGGCAGGTCTTCATAACAAACACTCAGCTGATGTGATCCCGACTTACAAATAAGATGTACATGTAATACGCACAATATTATTTTATGCACCAGAAAAAAAAAAAAGAAAGAATCTTGACACTCTTGTGCACAAAGGTTCCATGTGACTTTTATGTACAGCATCACAGATTTGTCTCGTTCTGACACACCCATTTACATGGTTAGAATATGCAGAAAAAGAGATATTACATCAGCCACACAGATTTTCAAATGTAAGCCAAAGATCAGGAAATTATAAAATATGTGACCCGAAGGGACAATACGAGATGACATTCACAACACAAGGCATCTCGTCTGACAAGTCAAAAACTTCCTTCACCACACCACTGTATTCACCACATAATGCTGTCATATAAATAGGTTAATTTCTTACAAAATTTCATATATCTCTCCCGTTTATGTATCACACTGCAGCATATCCACTATCTCACGTTCTAAAACTATGCATTTCAGTTGGTCATTATTGCTGCTTATCACTTCAGTTGTCCTAACCACAGCTGTTGTATAGTCTTTTCATCAAGTATGGGACCCTCTAGACTATGTTCTCTAGCTAAACCAGAACATTTTACTCATCACAACCATTCCTGCCGTCTCACCTCATCTAATTAAACCTATCAACACTCTATTATGTCATTAAATCATTCTCCCACCCAAACTAAACTTTCATTTTTCAAGCCCCAAATCCATCTAATGGAGTTATTTTTTTACCCCCTCCCCCCCAAAAAAGAATAAAACAAATTCAGATTTCTTAGAAACACCAGCAACCTGAACTTATCCTTTTTGTCTACTCAGTGCTTTATTGTCAAAATCAGAAGAAAACAAATAATTTCTCTCACACCATACTCCGAGACAAAAAAAAACCTAGAACAATATAATTCCACGACTCAAATGATTCAAGTGCAGCAACAGAGAGACATAAGCTCAGACTGACTCAAGCGTAGCGCATTGCCAGTGGTTCAACACTACTGAAGCACACAGAGACAGGGCACGCAGGAAGACAAGTAGCAGCTGAGAGTGGTGTCCGCTCTACTAAGCAGGTGCACGAGAACATTGGCTAAGGGAACGGAGGTTTTATGAATACTATTACATCGTCACACTCCTACAATAAATGCCCAAGTCATTTTTCTTAACAAACCACCACAGTCACCACTCTCCACAGAAAATGAAATAAAGTTAGGTATGAAGAGATGATCAATGTTACAGAAGAAAATATATTATAATTTCACATGTGTATGGGATTGGTGATGGTGTAATGCAACTTGACTTATACAAGTCATCAATAATTGCTAAAGCTGCATATAATTTCAGCATCAAAAAACAAAAAGGGAATTTCAAACGGAACAGAGTACTGACCCAGCTCATGAAGAAAAAAGTTCTTATTGCACAAATGTGTTTCACCACCTTAGTAGACTGGAAAGTTTGTAGAACCTTCACTGACAAACACTAAGGGAACCAGTCAGTGAGTATGCAAATGAATCGTTCAACACATAGAACCACCTTAGGTTGTCAATGACTTTTACATTATTTTCATATGTTGTTGTTTTGTAGTTGTTGTTTTTAATTCAGAATGCTTTGAGTGTGTGCCCTTCGGAATCATTTTCATACAAACAGAAAATTGTCCTATTAAAAAAGAAATTGGCGGAGGGGAGTTCTACCTCATCCCCTGACATTAAACCCTAAAGCCTCATGGTCTTGTTTACCTTCTCTCTGTGCAGTAATGCTCCTTCAACAGAGGAAATAGCTACATCATTATACCTAAAACATCATCCGCAAAACACCCCCTGAACATATCAAATTGAACTCAAAAGCAAAAATATCAATACCATAGTACATTGCCAACATATCTCAGCTCCTCTTCACCCCAGCTGTTCCCACAATTCCCATTCTCTAGGTAAGGTACAGCTGAGACCAAGGGTCAAAACACTAGCCATCAAGGCCATTGCTTTGTCCACGAATTATCCATAGCTCAGCTGTAAGCAGCTCTCTTTAGTTCAATGGACACCTTGGTATATACACATCCAAAACTCAAAATAAAACTTCATAAAGCAGTTAGAGTCAGTGTCTTAGTATCCTAACCAGTCTAACAACATCTGCTGCAAAATTCTACTTTCCCTTAACAAAATGTTGTGCTCATTTAAATACTCCCTGCAGGTATATTTTTTTCAAAAATGTGCTTTCATTTCAGCTAGAAAGAGATCATGACATCGATGTTAGTATGTCAAGTCTCATAATATATATGTAGGAAAATTAAGTCAAAAACCAAAATTACTGCAATGGGATAAACAAAGTAAGATAATCATTACTTGGAAGTATTTTCAAAGCAAATATCAAAAGAAAACTAGTTTTGAGATCAATTTTTTAAAACACCCACGCTGAATTACATAAAGAGAAACAAAAGCAGAATGTCCTTATCTTTTATCAAGAAAACTGAGCAACATTTCCAACACTGGCAAGGCAAACAAAAAAGTATTTGTGCCATTTTTGTGCCACTATCAATAACAGACAAGGGACCTCCAATTTGTCTCTGCCAATGCGGTAACAGTTTCCATCCAGCGATAAGTCCTGCTGTTTATGATGTCTTGTGCGACATGGGAGGGAACTCACTGTCATCATGAATCCGCAGAGCTCCAATCGTCTCCTCCCCTCCAACAGCCCCATCGAGGGGTTCCTGGTACGGCAGGGAGTCTGTGTGGGGCAAACACAAAGGTTATCAGTACAAACCTGCAAAAGTTTAAAAGTTACACTCCAACATTCTAAGCAAATAACATAAGAACCACTCTAAACAGCATGACTATTACACATCTTATTCTGTTTAGACTTGAAAAAAACTATTTATATTAAAGAAAAATATTCTGCTTTCAAGATGACCTACTTGAGTCCAGTAGGGCAATAATAAATTCATACATGTAAAAGAGCAGCTAAAATTACCCACATACAAGTACCCAGTAATATACTGCTGCCAAAAAACCCCCAAAAAAGACAGGAAACAACAAAGAAACAAAAATGACCAATAAATATAGGAAAAGTAGGACATAGAAAAAGAGAATCAAAAGCCTGCTCAGGCCAACAAACTACACTCAGGGTAACTAATTCTATTAATAGTACTACTATCATAATCATTACCTAAATTATAGTGAAATATGCTGACATAAAACTGATAGCTTAATGCTGGTGAAAAAGAAAGTTGACAACAAAATACAGGGGCTGGAAAGGAGTGTGAGCCACCAGTATTGCACTATATACTTAGAGGAATCAAAACCAAACCAAAGCTTTCAACATGGGTATTTGTGTAAGGAATCCTTCGATGATCCGGTAATTACAGTAAGGGTGACACCCATTCTACATAAACAGTAAAACAAAATCGTAACATGCTTTCTTGCATGATGACAACAGACTTAAGCTACGGTGCTACAGTCATCAAGTGTTGAAATGAGTAAGACACTACAACTATAAAGACATCTTCAAAACACCAGATTTATTAAGCACACCAAACATCTTAATTCTTAGCTCAGATTTTAACGGAGACTAAAGATGACAAGACATCACAATGAGAAAAGCAAATGCCACCAATTCTTTGTTTCAACACGACCATTTGTGTAAGGAATATTTCCATGATTAGGCAACAGCAGAGAAGGTAACAAATATAAACCATAAACAGCACCCCAGCTGTAGTTATCCCCTTTTTTTCAGTAAAATATTTACAGGCAGCCATTTTCATCTCAGACTTGATGTCTTTACAGCAGTTGCTTTCACAGAAAAAAGCTTCAGTGCGAGAATTTTCACTTTAAAAATGAAAAAAAATAGACCTAATTCAATTCAATGAGCATCTAAAAAAACCCTATAAAGATAAACATCCACTCATGACTACCACAATTGAATTTCAGCTGGTTACTACGACATACAGAAATATGTTGTTACTAAAAGAAATATTCCAAGAAATGTGGACTGTACTGTTGAAGTAGAACCTCATTATACCCCCTCCACCATAAATACCCCCCATCACAAACATTTAAGTTTCTCAGTACCTCAACTTTCAAACGCTACCAAACTTACCATAACCTAAAGGGCAGTGGAGGAGAATTCAAACCTAAAAAAAAAGTCTTATGGTTTGGGGTTGTTGTTTTTTGAGACATGGAAGAGAAAGGAAGCAGATAAAGATAATGACAATGGTGACACTATCTGAAAAATAAAAGAAGCAGACCACATGAAAAGGCCCACCAACCACCCAGAAGTTATTCTCTCAAGAGCAGCAAAAGTGTCTTGGAGAAGCCAGTACCCAAAGCTGCATCGCCATCTCGAATGTTAATCCGTCATGAGTCCAACATATCTCGACATCCTTTCATGGAATAAAAGTAGGAGGTTCAATCAAAGACAATCATTTAGCATTTCAAAATGTTGGGAAAAAACTCCAACCAACAACTAAAGTTGAATAAATCAGGTTGGCCTGATAAAGAGCCACATTTTTCCTCTCGAAATTAACTTTTTTTTGGCACAGAGCACATTCAAAACAAGCACTCTTCTCTTGATCATGCAAGTGTTCAGTTTATCAGGTCATAAGGGCTGAGAATAGCAGTTCCTAGCAAACTAGTCCACTAAATACCTTGACAGGCATTTCAGACCCTTTTCAGGAAAGACTCACAATATTCTCTGGAGTGTTAGGTCAGAAAAATGTCCAGAAGTGAACTTGGGCAATGGGTGCACAGTAAAACATAGCAAGCACACAACATAAGGCAGCAGACAACAACAGACAACCAGGAGCTTACCTTTCATAATAAGAACAGACCTAATTGCTACGTTCTGCTAGATAAGTCTCACACTTTGAATGAGAAAAGGAAACTCACTCCAAAGACAAGATAACGTTATTTTTAGTAAGTTTCACGGCACTTGCAACACAATAAGGTGCAAAACAATAGATGTGTTACAAGACAGTAACGTACACAAAAAATAAGGAGAGATAAGGACGATAGATGTTTGATAGGAAAGAAGGAGCAAACCAGACTAGAGCACCCGTCAACCACCTACACAAGAAAATGTGTTTGAGTTACAGAGAGAAACTAATCAACAAATGTTTAGCCATTTTTTGTTAGTTTAGTATGAGGTTTTACGGCGCTTGCAACTGCATAAGGTCATACGAACGGGCGAAACACAAGTTGGTTGCATTCGCAACAGTTCACTGCACGGCTGGTCAACTATCAGACTTTAAAATGTTAAAATATTTAAATTCGATGTAAATTCAATTTAAAACAACTCTTTTAAATAATATACAAATTTTGAACAATTTTATTTCTTTATATTTCCCATAAAGGCCATTGGACTTAATAAAATCTAAAATTCTGTTGAGAACAACGACGGAAAAATTATCTTGCAATTTTTTGCATTCAAAATATTTCCTTCCGGTCTCACCGAAGTCTAGACATTCGGTTAAAATGTGTCTAACGGTAAAATCTGTGTCGCATCAGACACAGAACGGCTTCTCTTCTCCCTGAAGGAGGTATTGGTGTGTTACTGTTAGGGCCGTGTGTCTGATGTGTAATCGAGTAAAAATGACTTCGTCTCTTCTGGAGAGGCCCAAAGGATTTCGCGGTCCTAGTTTGGGTTTAATGTTGTGCAGTTTGCTATTTGTTTGTTTTTTCCAATGGCCTTCCCACAGACTGGAGGTGTACTTTTTTACTTTATTTTTGAAGTCAGTCTGTGGGAGAATGTTCGTCGTTAATCCCAACAGAAGGGATAAGGATTTCTTCGCCAGGTTATCTACCTGCTTGTTTCCTCGATGCCCACATGGCTACTAGGTATCCATGTGAGCACGATACTTAGCCATTTAACACAAGAGAAAAACAAAAAACACCAAAAGCAGAATAACAGACTAGAGGACAAAAATCAGTAAAGGACGCCTTTTAAATATCTGTTCTAGATGCTTTTCAGCAGGCATCAGCTCACCATAATTCTTTATAACCAGTCAATAAAACCAAGTGGTTTTTCCTCAATGCTCAGAATGCAGCACACAGAAAAACTCAATGAGAATTTGTCACTTATACTAAAAGACCATGCAGAAAAAGAACAACTTTCAAGTATAAAAGATTTATAAATTATGATAATGTTTTAAAAATCACTATTTAAACTGCAATGAAAAGTTGTGAATATCTTTTTGCATCAAATCTGTACAATATTTTCTATATTTCTTTAAATGAACAATTCATGTACCTGGCGGTTTTCAGGTTTCCCCGACTAACAGCATCTACCAACACCCAATACTCTTTCTCCCTCCCATCTTGCAGTTCTCCCTGAAAAAATCTAAGCCAACTCACTGAGCAAATGATGTGACATTCATAGAGAAAGCATACAGAGAGAGAGTAAGCTCTCACCTGCCTTTAATAAATTGCCACTAAATAATCTGCAGCTTCGTGAACACCCATGTCCGCAAAAAAATTGTAGTTTTCGGCATACTAAAATACCAGGACAATAACAAAGCCATTTACCCCCACCCACAGGGAAAAGCCAAATATAACTATGAAGCTTCCAAACTGGGAACTTGCTATCATAGATGGGAGAAGGTGTCCACTTAAAAATTTTCAGAGAGAAAAGTTTCTCGACAATCATGTCACATCAGCTTTGAGAGACTATGGATTTAAGAAGGTAGAAAATAAAAAAATAGAAACCCGTTGCTGAACATGCTGGAAAACTCATGTGTTAAAATTCATTACTCAAGACTTATAATTTAAATGTATTGATATTTTGACAAATTAATTCGAGTCCCTTAGTGTGTTTAGATCTGTCGGTGACTTTTCAAAAAACAACTTTTCCATGTGTGGTAAACACCAGTAACTGACTACAGACACAATACATTTGCAGAATACAAATCTATGAATATAACCCCTGAAACTTACCAACACATAGCTGCATATTTCCAACTAATAAATAATTCAACTGAATGTAAATAGTTTAATTTTCAACAGCCAGTTAGTGAATTGAAAATCCAAATATAATTATAAGAAATTAATATAAGATGTTACACAAAATGTGAAAGAAAATGCAACATAAATTGCCAGACTGAAGACAGTTTTTGAAAGTCTAAAAAGTTAAACAAACAAAATTCTTTTTCTGTAAAAGACATAATGGTAACTCAGGGTACAGTGCTAGATGAGAGATACAAAGACGGAGAAATAGGGAGAGAGAAAGAGAAAAGAGATAGAGACAGGCAGTAGATAGAGAGAGACAAGGGACAGCAAGAGGGATAGAGAAAAAGAGAAAGAGAGAAAAGGGAGGGAGGAGGGGGGGGGGAGGGGAAGAAACTATACCTCACAGCAAAGCAGCAGTTCCCCTTCACGCCAAGGTAGAGGACCCACCAGGCTCTGTCCTCTGGGTAGCTCTAGCCTTTACTCTAGTAAAATAACGATACTACACCCACATGAACTTGTTGACTAAACTATGTGAACAGACCACAGGAGAGTAGATCAACAGAAGAATCTTGGACGCAAAAACACAAATAAACAACAAAAACACCTGGAGGAAAGAGCCACTTCAAACAGGATGCTCACTTGTACTTGAAAAACAACAGAGCTGCAGCTCTGATTCTAAACTTGACCTTTCTATTCTTGTGACTCTAATAAATTTCTTGATGCTTTTTTACTTATCACCTTTTTTATTTTGTTTTCTAACCTCCCAAAGCATATTTTCTGATTCTATGGCACATTTTTTGTACATCTATAATTAATTTCTCCTTTGAGTTTACTGATAGCTCCATTAACAATACAAAAAAACCAACCACCATTTTTTAATTAAATTATCAGTGATTGTTTAAAAAAAAACACCCATTAACACCTGATTCCATACATACTGTCAATACTACCAACATCATTGGATATTCCAAAAAGTGTCTGTTCAGCAATGGTATTTTTTACTGTTATCTTTATGACCTCTCTTTCTTACACTGTATGGCTCATTATGTCTTCTACATGATGCGCAATGTGCATCTACCTTTATAACACAGTTTTATCTCATATTTGAATCATACTTTTTTCATGTTTGTTTATGTGTGCTTATGCCTTATTTTTTAGCAAATATAGAGGGGAATGGCTTGCTTTTGCTAGTTTCATCTCATAAATGAATCAGCCTTCTTTTTTTTCAGTTTCTTTAGAGCACGTGTATGCCAAGTTTTTTTTAAGTAATAATTTAAGAATTTGGCTCACTTTCCGTCTTTGAGCAGTCTTATCTAAACCAGTCTTCACTTTTTAAGTCTCTTTTCAGCTGTCTGAGACAAAGGTCCTGAACCATATTTACTTTATCCATTACCAATTTCTCTTCTTCCCTTTTCATTTGTGTCAGTCTCTCTCCAAGGGAAATGCCTCAGAGAAGAACTGTGTTGAATTCAAGAATTGTCTGTACATCTATGAATGCCTTGATTTGAAGTGAAGATTGTACAAATAAAACTTTACCTTTAATGCACTGTGAAGTTTGCAAAATGAAGTAAGAGCTAGGTTTTGTACAAAATGAACACTGAAATAGAGGAAGAGGGAGTAAACCATACAGGAGCAGCTGCCAACCACCCATGCAAGATCTAAAGGTAAACCAATTTAGTCTACAGCTATGACCTAGAAAAGGCCATGACATCCAGACTTTCATGATAAAAACTTTACACCATACTTTCCCATAAATTTAATTGATGGGACAAAGTCCCTTAAGAGAAACACTACTATATATCCTTACAAGCAATTTATCTGTCTATCACACAGTCATGTTATTTAAACTGGTCTGCATTCTCAACAACCTTTGAGACAAATGTTAGTTTTTTTCCTCAAAAAACATCATTATTTTAATAAGTTAGTAAAATTTGGTTACACAAGAACAAGAAAGCTCACAACACCTAAATGTAAATTGTAGACATGCAGCAATATAAAATATTCACCGGAGCAAAATGCACGTAATATACTACACTGCATTTTGACTAAACACAAAACAAACCAAAATGTATTTTGAGTGTACATAGACAAGTAACCAAATCTTCCTCAGAAAACAAGATTCTACAAGCAAAAACCACAACTCAAGTTTGAGAAAGAGTACAAAACGATAGCACGAGGACGTAAACAAAGTTCAACGGATAACGCGTGTGCGTGGAGAGAAACGTGCAACAATAAGCGCTACAAATGCACCTTGCTGCACACTGTATACTAGGGGGGGAGAAGGAGTTGTTTGTGAGGCGTGCACATGACATGATTTATCAAAAGTCCAAAGCTGCGACACGCAAGCCATGAAGTCATTCATCAACACTGAAATCCCACTGAGACAATCATTCTTCTCTTGGCGACTTCCATGATGAATATCAACAGCACAGCATAACTTTGAACTTTGATAAGAGTGTGTTCGGTGCACGCCTCATCAAGAAAAACAATCTCCCCAGGAGAAGGGGAAGGGGTATTGGAGGGGACAAGGGGTAGGAGGAACCCGGTCCCATATGATTTACCTCCGTCACTTCTCAGCTCGTCCAGCACCGAGAGGAGACAGAGTTCGGCCGTCACCTCCTGGGGGCCCCCGCCGCCCTTCCCCTTCAACATGGCTGCGTAAGAGCTGCGCTCTCCTCCTCCTCTACCTCCACGCCATGCCTCCCCAACGCCAGGAGGAGCCACAGATGTCATCGCCAGCTTACCTGAAGGGGCTGGGGCCGAGGCAGCGGCCTCCCCACTACCTCCTGTCGCGTGGGAGGGGGAAGAGGAGGAGGCCGAGTGAGGCCGTCGAACTGTGGCTGCGTAGGAGGATGAGGCATCCTCACCAGTGGCCTGGGTCAAAGGTCGGTCGGTGCTTGAGGCCTCCTCTGATGCTGTGGGATGCTCCAGCGCCTGGCCCTCCAGTCTGGACAACCAGAGATGAAGTCTCATCAAACAACACAGCTCAACACCACAGAGTGTAGGCCAGCCAGACAAACGGATCAACTTACGAGAGGATAAATGGAAGGGTGCAGTGACTCAAGACCAAAGTGGCCAAGCTTCATCACAAAACAAATTGAGACAATAAACTTATAAAAGAAGTAGAAGAACCTAATCACAGCCCGCACAAACCAATCACTCAGAAATAAAAAAACAGAGACAGTCATAGAGTCATGAGAAAAAAAGGAAAAACAAAGGGAAAGAAAAGAAATAAGTGATGACCTCCAACTAACAGTCATAACAAGAGACATGAAATGAATTTTAACAAACTGCTCACACTATTTTGGTGGACAGTGAGAAAATATATTGAAATTTAGAGTCACAACTGAAGAAGAGAGTATCACAGAGACCAGAGATTGTTCTGACATTTTATGGTACAAAATGGTGGTATAGATAACTCTCGGAACAGTTAAACCCTCTTTTTATAAAAGGCTAGACTTGATGGGAGAGCCCAACCAAAACACTTTAAACTCAAAGAACTTTTAATTCAGGATTGGAACCAGAGTCACCTGAACTGTTAGTCATCAGGATAGGAACAAGACAAAGGAAAAGACAGAAATAAAAACACACCACAGTTCCACGTGACAAAAAAAACAGATACAGTCGAACCTGTGTAAGACGGAATCGCAAGGGAGCCAGAAAAAAATTCCGTCTTAGACATTTTCCTTCTTAGACAGGGGAATTTAGGGGGAGATGGAGGTGTGTGGGGGGGGGGGGGTTCAAAGGCCCAGCCGGTGGGATCAAGGATCACTTGTCCGATCAGCAAGCAGTGGTCAAAACTTCACACGTCTCAATTGCTATCCTCTCTGATAATGACATGCGCCGCGCCAGTCTTTCTTATCCAATTACCACCAGTGCTTGCCTTTCATATGACCACTGTTTGACCTATTAAAAGCAGAAACGTTTGAACATCTCCTTTGGTTCCACCCTTAGCCCCACCCACCAATGCCACCCCTCACTGCCATCATTGTAACAACGATTCAAGGAACTCTTTTCTCGGCTGGCCGTACGATCAGGGCGGCAGGCATTGGTCTATCTAATTTCACACCTCTGACTTCTGGCTACCCAGGAAAGTTTCTGTAGTGGCTCGCTACACGAGCACTCTCACGGGAAGTCGTGAGATTTCACACACACACACTGACCATCTGTATCGCTCAGGGCTCACATGATGGGGTAACATCTACCCCCAAATTGCACCCGTACTCCCCTTCCTCGCCCAGCGGCATAGCCATAGCGTTAAGTTTAGAGTCGGCGGACCCAAACTTGCGAGTTTTGTTTCAAATCAGGGTTGAGCGGGCAAAGCATTTTCCGTCTTAGACGGGTGAAACCCTCGGAAGGGAGTGGATTTTTCTTTCCATTTCCGCGTTGGACAGATTTCCGTTTTATACAGGTAATTAAAGAGGAATACATCAAGGGGGGAGCGGGGATATTCCGTTAAGACAGGTTTCCGTTTCACATAGATTTCGGTTAAGGCAGGTTCGAATGTATATAATCACAGTTGACATGGCACTGACAAAAAAAAGGACAACCTGAAATCAACAACGAAAGAACAAGAATGAAGCAGAACCTATGTGCTATGCCCCTGAAAACACATGGCAAATATTTTCATCCTCACTCAGCACCATATAGAAAAAAGTGAGAAACCACAGCCAAGAAGTTGTTTGAAGGTATCCAATAATCTTCTGCTCAAGTCATGAAGTTAGATTTAGAAAAACTGTCAAAGAGTAGGAAATGAAAGTTTAAGATATAATAAGATTCAGTAGAACAGAGTTACATAATACATTCAGACAAACAATTCTTTCCTCATTCTGTTCAGAGGCTTCAATGTAACAAACAGAGAAGAGAAACACTGAAAATGTGTTGCACTTAATAGACATATAATATCACTAAAATGTGTTACTGCATTATAAATATTATGGACACATTGTAAAAGACAATAAAGACATTATAATAGGTACATCAATTATCACGTGTCAGTAAGACACAGAAAAACAAATGTAATAAAACACCAAAAAATTATTCTTTAAAATAGTTTTCTGTTAATTACATTATCTCTTTGTAACACTCATGATGCAAGTTTTTAAAAAATAACTGTTTGAATTTGAAATCAAGGAGCAAATTATCATTTCCAGATAGCACTCTATTTATAATTGTTTGGTACTTCTACTTTTGTCAATTTCATTTATATTCAACAACATTTTAACTAAAATATCAGATCTGATTAGAAACAAAAAAGAAAAGGCAGTGATAAGAAGACAACAATAAGTTAACTCTTTCGCATCAAGCTGCACATTCCCTATGTATGTAGTTTTATACCCTGCGCCATCCCTTAAACGTGTATATATATAATATATGTGCAAAATTTGAGGTTACTTTTAAGCAACTCAATCATCACTTTCTTTTGGAATAAGAGTATCTGTCAAATCAAAGCAAAGCTCTCGACAGCACAGATGAAAAGACATACATTTACTTTCTCTGACAAAAGACTTCAAAAGGATAGAAGAAGGTATGCTGTCATAGCGTAATTAGTCAAGTTTTAACAGCTGTGATATATTACAAAGTCAGTATCATCACCAGTCACCATGACCTTCACTCTTGTCAACAACATCCTTACCACCTTTTCATTTAGTAAAAAAAACTGTTCAGGTAGAAGTATTTTGAAAAGTCAGTTTTCATAAGGTCATTATGACCAGTTGTGGGAATACCAAACATTCATTTACAAGTCACCTAAAAAAAATAATTAGCAAGAGTAACTAGATCTGTATCTATTTTTATGGCCGAAAATAAAAATTATTGTTTTGATTTTACTGCATTGCCAAAATTTAGACCCTAAAAATTAAAACAAGGCACAGAGTGTAACAATAAAATTTAACATCACCATGGCAATGAAAACATAAATAGGCCCAGGAGTGCCAAACTGTCTGCCATGAATTGATGGGGAGTGAAAAAAAAATCACTCACCAACGTGGCATGACATGATGCGAAAAGGTTAAAAACTTTGTTATGACACATTGTTAAAACATTACTCTGCATGTGTGGAAGTGCCATCGAGAAGAGACTGGACTTCTGGAACTTATATGATGTTCAACAAAAGAAACATTCACATTACAATTTGCTGGTGAAGGAAAAAAATGAATCTACATCTTCATTTAAGAAGCAGAGGGTCTAGAACATTCCATATTTCCAGAATCGAGAAACTTCAGGGAAACAAGGCACCCCAGTAAACACAACCTTTGAATTATGGGGGATGTCTGTCTCAAATATAGATTTTACTTTGACAGCACTCTGTAGTTCTACTGCAATACAGCGCAGTGAGAAAAGCCCCATGTGGGCCGGGCCACTTACGTGTGAGTCCTCAGGAGTGTGCACTCACCGCCCTCCACCGTGTCCAGGTTGTAGATGTACAAGTGACCCTCATGGGTGGCCACCAGCAGACGTGGGATTTTCTGAAGCCTGGAAAATCAAACATTGAAGACGTTGCAGACAGCTAGACTTTTGTTATCATCCCAATATCAGCATGACGCTAATAATAATAAATATCACTCAGAAACACACTTCCACCAAAAAAATGCTCAATACATTTTGCAATAATACAAAGAACACTAGCATCATCAGTTCTAGCGATTCTTTCTCTCCGTCTCTCTTTCTAACACCCCCCCCCCCCCACCCAAACAAAACAAAACAAAACAAAAACAACCTTGCACATACAAACCCATGTACACATCAATTATAGCACACAGCTCCTTGTTACAAAACAGCATGAACAAAAACACCCATACTGTGTATTAGGAAAAATTATATTTAAACTATTAGTAAAAATAAACAAAATCACATATATATCTATATGTGTTATCATAGCAACCAACGGTTTAACTAAAACATTGCATGACCTTTAATGTCTGGCAATGAAACTAAAATACCTATGTCATTGAAGGGGGTCTTTTTCATTAAAAGGGGAATAGGCCACACTGTCTCTTACACAGCTTTGTTTCAGAAACAAATTCTTTAAAAATGTAATCACTGAAAATACATCCTCACATTGACTCACTTTTCAAAAAATGAAAACTGACGAGCATCGACTCAGTTTGTGAATTACTTAACCTTTGATTTCGGGCAACCTTTTAAAGTCTGCAAGTGCAAGCATTTGGCTGATCTGTCTCCTACTTTTCTAAAATGTTAAAATGATTTAATTGACAGTATTTCCACAAGTGGAAAGCTCAATAATCAACAGTGAAGCAGCTCTCTGGGTCAGCAAAAAGTACATTCCTACAAGTAGGAAGTCAATTTACTGTGATTCATCATCACCATCATCAGCTCCATTCACCCTGGTATTGGGTATAGGCCTCCATGATGGGTTCTCGGCCTGTGTCCATTCTGGGAGATCTTGTTGACCCCCAGCCAGCTGTGTCACATATGCCCGAGATATGCCTCCAGATCTTGCTCCCTGGTGGATCTTGGCCTTCCTCTCTTACTCCTACCCTGGGGCGTCGGTCTCGGGCCTTGTCTTGTCTCGCTGTGGACTGGTATTCTAAGTATGTGCCAAATTCAGAGCCATCTTTTTTTTTGATCAACCTGTCAATTGGTCGTTTGGTTTTCTTCCACAGTAACAGATTTCTGTTGGTGTCCAGCCAGTCGATTTTCATGATATTCCACAGCCAACTATTAATGAGCTTCTGTAATCTGTTTTGTTAGTTTCCATATTTCTGATCTGTACAACAATACACTTTTTACATTTGTCTTAAAAATCCTGATCTCTGTACTTGTTTTGATGCTTCCTGATCTCCACACAAAATGTAACTGTTGAAATGCTCCCCTTGCTTTTTCTAACCTGGTCTTGAAATCAGAAACTGTTCTTCCCATGCAATCATAACACTTTCTAGATATGTAAAAGAGGTACTGTATTGGCACCTCATTGATCTTAATGTCTTCTTTTACAACTGTGTAGATTTTCAGAACCTTTGTTTTTCACTATAGTTTGCACCTCGAAGCTTCTAGTGAAATACCAGTTATGATACTGTGATTATTACTATTATACGAGGGCTGTCCTACGGAAAACCGGAAAAGCAACAGTCCTAATATAATAAAAATGTAACACATCATACCTCAACATGTGCTTTATTTCTCAATGTCATCCCCACCCCACTGGACGCATTTTTCCCATCGCTGGATCAGGAAGAAGATACCCTCCCTCAAGAATTTTTCGTCCAGGGATTTCAACCAATCTTTCACGGCTTCCACGAGGTCTTCGTCGTCGGTGAATCGCTGTCCAGAAATATGGCGTTTCATTAATCCAAAAAGGAGATAATTTGAAGGGGCCAAATCAGGACTGTGAGGGGGGTGTGGCAGAACTTCCCAGCCGAACCTTTGAATTCAGTCTTTCGAAGCATTTGCGGTGTGTGGCATTGCGTTGTCATGCTGCAAAAAGACCCCGCTGAAAAACCGCCCTGGTCTTCTTTTGTGCACAACCTCTTTCAACTTATCGAAAGTCTGGCGGTATCTGTTAGCATTAACAGTTTGTCCTGGTTCCAGAATGTCACGAAGCAGAACACCTTTGGCATCCCAGAAAACCTTGGCCATGAGTTTCTTCACTGATGGCCGAACTTTAAACTTTTTCGGGGGAGGTGAAAACGTGTGCTTCCAAACCACTGAATCCCTCTTCATCTCAGGGGTCATGTGGTGTACCCAAGTCTCATCACCTGTAATAATGCTTCTCGGGAATGCTCCATAGTATTGTTGGAGGTCTCCAGATGCGTTCATGACTCCCGTGACAGCTTGGCGACAACGATTCAACAAAGGCTGAGACCTGAGACACTTCAACACGTTGCGCCTTGTGGTCAGCTGTCAGCTCTTTCGGGACCCATCGAGCAGAGACCTTTCGATAGTGCAGCTCATCAAACACTATCCTATGGACAGTCGACTTTGAAATGTTTAGCAACTCGGAAATTTCGCGAATTTTTAGGCGCCTGTCTGTTTTGAATGAGTTCATTAACGCGACTCTTGTTGTCCTCAGTCATGGCAGAAAAACAAGGTCCTGGGTGAACTTTGTCATTGACATCCGTATGCCCGACTTTGAACTTACTACATCACTCATATACCTCCAGGGTGGGGCGACCATCCCCGACCCGGCGGGTCCCAGGTGGCGGATAGGGAACAGCCACTGTAATGGAGGTTAGCTGTGAATATGTTGAATAAGCAGCCCCGGACCAACTGGCGATGCTCTTACCAGGATGGGGTGAGGTGGTAGGTGGCACTACCACGTCATTAAATGCCCTAGAGTCCTCTGACTGGAGCATCATGCGGAAAAGGACCGCATTAAGTCCTGGCTACGGGTGGGATCCGGTAACAATTCCTCCCTGTGCTCCCAGGGTAGGTCCTTGGACCTGGAGCTGGAGTGCTGAAATCGGAGGTATTGGGCCGCAAGGCGCACTCTAGAGAACCACAATACCACGTAATACTGCAATATATGACACTTGAAGTAGGTAACGTTAGATATGGTGCTCGCCCTGTGAGGACCCACCAGGCAGGTGCAGTGCCGGGCCCCAAGCCTCGAAGGGGTCCACCCCAGCGACTGGAGGGCCTTCCATCGTCTTGGAGTGCCAGGAGACGAAAGATCCCTACAGGACCATCTACCAGTCACAGTTAACATGCTGAACCATACTCCAGAGGCACCATCATGGGAAAAGTGACTGGTAACACAAATACACACCCACGGCCCTGAGACAGGAAACGTGGCCAACCCCACTGACGCTACAAGAGAAGCTATATGGGCCGACAGATGAACTGAGCAGGACGGCCTAATTTATGACAGATACCGAATAACACATTTCACTTCTATCCTTGACCAATTTTCCAAGGAGGAGGCCATCTTTGGAGAACTGTAGTGTTCGTTTGGTTTGTGCGATGCTCTTGGTGCTCAATCGGGAAATTCTTAAATGATTGTTTTACAAAAAGTGCGTTTGCAGAATGTGAAATATTGAATAGTTTTCAAATTACAGCCAAATTCCGATTTTCCGTGAGACAGACCTCGTAATTCTTCTGTTTCGCTAATATACTTTCATCTACAATATGGTGGGTTATGTATCAAATGAAAACTCAATGAGAAAAGGCATATTTCAAATATGTGAGGCACTGTGGTAAAATCAGGCGCTCGTAAAAATACTGAAAACTGGCATTTCTCTGCAGGTTTGGGAATTTTTATCAAATTTTTTTTTTCTGGCTCAACACCTTTCATACCCACTAAAGAACACATTTATGTGTGAATTTTACTGAAAAACATTGATTAAAGGCATAAAAAATGTAAATTTTCAATTTCCACAGAATCTCAAGCTAGGGAAATAATTCAGCCTTGGCAAACATTTTCTCGCTAATTTTACTTCTGAAACCAGGCAAACCCCACTTCCTTCAATAGCCTATATTTTGGCTTGTATCAGAGATAAATGGACATTTTTTCCCATCAAAAGCAAGGCAAATGGACAGGCTTTTAAATGATACCAATAACTCCATATGCCCCAAAATTTATAAGCACATGATTCTACCACGTCATGACACATATCTTTGCATGCAGCCTTTCGTTTCTTGCCTTTTTAAAATGAATCGTAAACATAGACAGCGAACTATAACCAAGAAAAAAAATACAATAATTCAATAAAGAAAACCTTAGTTCAGACGAACATTTTAGCTGAAAACACATTCAACAAGCTTACATAAAAAGGGTTAGCATGAAATTATTGAGTTCCCCTGGACATCAAACTGTTGCCCTTGGAGAAAAATTAAGAAGAACATACTCACTTATTATAATGCTGCTGTATGAAATTACTCTTAACTCGCTCTTCAGCTGCCAAACTGGAGATAGTTATAGACCTGCATGTGAGCCTCAACCAGATTGTTTGAAAATTTTGCGCACACCCCCATTATAAGAACTTTTGTGCGTGTAATAAAAGGAAGGACATCCGAGTGACGAGCGACCACCCCAACAAACAATAAAGACGAGACCTAACCCTAACCCAAACCCTACCCCAATAAAGAACCTGTAACAACCCTCATGTAAAAAGGCCAGCACAAGTCAAAAATGAAAAAAAAAAAAAACACACCCCAAAAACAAACAAGGAGCATAATATGGCCTACATTGCTACAATTATGTCGGAAACGCCGACGTCGCAAACGAAAGTGCCGACAAAGCCGACGGGAGAAAAAGGGGATGCTGGCAGATGGCCAGGCCTTGCACTTCGCACATTGACTAATACAGGTGGGCCTAGCGATAGCATCGGCCAGCTCGCGATTGTCGGATTTCAGACCATTGTCGGCAAACATGCAGGTCTAATAGTTATTATACATCCTTTTTTGATGAGCATACATTGCATATACTGATATAGTGAATGAGGAAAGAGCAAGTGGACCTACCATAGATGCCTTTCAAACACACCAACCGTTTCATTAAGAGAGAGCAACATCAATAATGGTTCCTGAGACATGAAACTTGGTAGACAGTGACTACGAGAAAGACTTACTTGAACAACTTAGCACCTATGATCCGTATGGCAAAATAAAGAAAAAATTTGAGAGAAAAAGCAATTGATGCCATTGAAGATGACCTGCTTAAAAAAGATTCTTAGCACCAATATTTCTCTTAGTAATCAGACCTGTGACTCATAGGCATTGATCTGTTTTGAGTGGTAAGTATCACATTCTACTAAAACATTACTTTTACTTTTTCCTTCCTCTGGTATCCTTAGGATGTCGAGGGGAGGTGCAGCTTTCGGTCCTGTGCTAGGTGTGTAGCGTCTGTGATAAATATGTTATGCTGTTCCAGGACCTTTTTAACCCCACCCAGCCAGGTCTTTCCTGGTCTTCCTCTTGAACTAAAACATTACAAGACATAAAAACACAGAATGGACCGAAGTGATATCTGTCAGCACATAGATATGTACTTACGAAGTTATGGTGCATACACTTTTCAGTCCAGCACTGGGCAGGCGCGCAGTGGCGAAGGACCTGCCCTGGTTCATCACATCCGAGATCCCTGCAGGAAGATAACTGGCTGAGGTTCTGAATGTGTTGTTCAGCATACCCATCCAAGAGTTGTCCTCCTGAGGTCTGGGTAGAGACATTGAAAGAATAAAATATCAAATCTTGACCACAACATCACAACTAGACACAGCTATTTTGCACAGTCTAGTATATTTACACTTAAATCTTTTTATTTTTAACCCTCAAAAAAAGAAAAGTACCCTCAAGACAAATGATAATGAATTGAAAATGAGAAGCAAAAAGCCACCAAATCCTGTTCCAATAATATATAGTGAGTGGTAATATAGATATTAAATGCTTGAGAGAGAAGTCCTTATTCAAAATTCTGCAACGTCCCAAACTTCCAGACACGATTCTCTAGATAGAGCATAACTGTATTTACCAAAAAAAAAGATAAATGACTTTTTTAAAAATAAAACATGAGTTTACATAACAAACAAGCAGGCTTAAATTTACAAGCATGAGAAAAAAAAAAGATTGCAAAAGAAGTGTCATCTGGACTAACTTTTCCTTGGTCTCCTCCAGCTTAAAGATGTGAACAGTTTCAGTGTTGCTGCACAAGCACAAGAAGAGAGAATCTAGACTGAAAGCCAGGCACTGGATATCAACGCATCTGAAACACACGAAAAAATAGCAGTTCAAGTAATATTATAAAAAAGTGGGGAATAAATACATAAACAACACAATACTAACGAAGTTGAGCCACTTATCCCTTTTCAAAAGGTAAGCCTCACCAACAAGTACTCATCATGACTGTTTGTTTAGTACAGGGTTTTATGGCGCTCGCAACTGCATAAGGTCATAACTCATCATCATGCCTGTGAGTGTAAAAACTTGTAGAGGGAAAAACTAATGCTCACCAGCTGCATGAAGGTGTCACATCAAACCAAAAACAGACGTTTATTTTAATACATGTTGGAGAGGCATTAGAACAAAGATTCTTTTTTTTGGTATGATTTACACAAATGGAATATAAATAAGGGCAAGTTAATAGAAAGACACAGGTATTGAAAGCTTGAACTAACTGTAAGTTAATCAACAAGGTTTCTTCGCCATTAAAAAACAACGCGAAACATTACATACAGATGACTAGTTTTATTGCCCAATAATCCAAATAGATAGAGACCTGCTAATAATATCGGAACTGGAAATCTTGCCTATTCATTGATACATCCAATCATATTTCTGGTAAAATTATACAAACAAGTTTATTGAGACTAATAAACTCATTTTAAGTCTATCATTATCCCCATCACCAATATTATTATATAATGTAACAGTCATTACTGCAGTTGCTGGAGTCCAAAGAAAGTTGTTATCAAAGACTTATATCATGACCACTAAACAACTTAAGTCCACACAAAGAAGAGAAAGAGGTCACAACAGAACATTTCCATAATAGAAATTGATAAATAAACCAACAGTGACATATTCACCATTCAACATTATAGTTTTTTACACCGCCAACCCCCCCCCCCCCCCCCCCCCCCCTAAAATCCTTAGGAAATAAAAAAAATTGGACCCACAGCAATATAAAAAGCAATATCGAAAAAGATAAAAAGCCTAAACTACAAACTGTCCAAATATACTTCCATTTTGAATATAATAGCAAAGCAATATACAAAACGATATATCACCTTTTCAGTCCTCTTCTGAATTCAAACAGCTTATCACCATCTGGAAGACTGAAAACACGCATTACGGTCCCCTGTGGAGTTGAAAACAAAATAATCTTCTTCCATTGTGTCTTAGAATGTATATGCCAATGGTTAAAGGACATTCCAAGTAACAAGAAGAATTGTGTCACGACGTAGTGGAATAAGGCCCTCCTCAAGTTTTGGGCATGTTGAGTTATTGATATCATCTTAAAGCTAGTTCATTTGTCTTGCTATGGATGAAAAAAATATCTATTTATCTTTAAAATAAGTCGAAATATCCATTTATCTTTAAAACAAGTCGAAATATCCGTTTATCTTTAACACAAGTCGAGACGTTTGCAAATGAAGGGGGAAGGGGCCACCGACTTTTACAGATAAAATTAGTGAGAAAATGGCCGCCAAACATTAGTTATTTCCTTAGCATGAGAGTCCATGGACACTGAAAAATGATGTTTTTTGTGCCTTTAATCAATGTTTTTCAGTAAGATCAACACAGAAACGTTTTCTTTAATGGGCATGAAAGGTGTTAAGCCGAAAACCCCCCCAGAAATTTGAAAAAAATTCACAAACCTGCGGACAAATATGGGGTGTGAAGGGAGGAAAATAAAAGCAACCTGGCATTTAGTCCCCCCCCCCCTAAATGCAGTGTCATCAACATTGATACACACTTGACATTATTGTGAGCCTGAGCTTACTAACCACTCAGAGCTACAGCCCCCCCCCCCCCTCATCCCTAAAAATAACATTGGGGATTCTTGCTTGTTTTACCCATCAGGCTATATATATATACATTATATAATGTTAATCTGTTTGACAGCTTACTTCATGTTACAACTTATTTCACCTGCTGTACTTACATTATGTGGAACGCTGAGCAGAAGCAAAGTGGTTAACCAACACTGCACTTGACTGGCCGCATTATGGGAAACATTACAACACTGATACTGATAAGCACAATGACATAACTGACAGTTCTATGTGATTCTACAGTCTGATCTTGTGTTCCTAAACACCTCTATTTTTCATTCGATGCAATGATTCTCATACACGTATATAGGATAGCCATTGCACTAATTCCTTGCCTTTTCAGAAGCAGTGCCCAGTCGAGTACCCTGTTGATTGAAAGTAACTGCTGCCAAAGGGTTGTCATGAGCAGATATATTGATCACAGCTCTCTGAAAGAAGAAAAAAAAATTAGTACTCCTTTATCTATTCACAATCTTGCTCCAAGTCATGCCTTGTAAATTTACTCATCCTAAACTTCTGCAACAATTTATGAAAACTTTGCTTTGCAACATCTTCAATACTTGTCAAAACAGCAGGTCTGGAATTTTTTCAGTCAATGAATTTTTTCCTATTGCCGGATTTGCCACTAACCTTTTCATACACGACTCCTTTCTTCCTGTCAAACTACAACAGAAAGTGATACACGTCCAGTCTGTTCAGGAAATTTCTTATTCTATGCATTTAGATCTTATGCATCTCAAGCAAGGATTTGGACTTCATAATTCCAAATTCCACAGTGAGAGGCCATCCTTTGAGAGAATTTATTTGTGACTAGCAAAGTGTCGATTGTGATTGTAAATGTTGAGCCCGAACAAAAACAATTTAGACCATTTAGGGGTGAGCTTCATCAACCTTTTGAGGGTGAAATGTGTGTGCAAGAAAAATTACAGAAACGCGTCATACAACATCTTTTCACAGTAAAAAAAATCAAAATCATGCCTTTAGCACACTTTTGTTTTGCAAAGGAAAGAGCCAATAATTACCCCACTAATGCCAGAGACAAGTCACTTAATTCATTAAAAAAACAAGAATCAATACAAGAATCATGACTAATTCGCCATGACAGTCAACTCACCAATGTGATGGTGTCAAAAATCTGGACCTCCCCAGCCTGAGCACTTCCTGGGTAGGCTAAGTAGGCGTGCTCGTTGTGCGGAGACAGAGCACACACGCCTTTTGGGTTTGGTGGCGTGTCGCGGATCGTATGCAACACTTTCATGTCTCGGATGTTGTGGATGTACAAGCTTTCCTCCAGACACACAACCAGGCGCTGCACAAGACGTATATACCAAGTTGTACTTGTGTTCCTCTTTGTATCTCAGTTAAAGGAAGTTCAAAGACTTATTAATCTAAGCTATAGATCTATCAAACAGAATGTGTGTTATCAATCCAGGGGTGCAGTCCATAAGGGTCTACAGATTGAGTGAAATAGAATCACTTTACAAAAAATATGATTAGCATCAAAATAAAAGAGATCATAATATCCTTATCGTCTCTCTTTGTTTTCCAATGTAGTAGAAACCAACACCACTTATAATGCATGATATTGATAAGGTAAATCAAAACTTAATATTTATTCTATGCAGAATCCCGAGAGCCATTAACATAGCAAAAATTCTTTTATCATAAAACCAAGCTGATTGGCAAGGTCTCAGATAATTTCAACAACACAAAAGTAAAACTTTCTCAGGAGTCCTCTCAGTTTTAACATCCAATGACAGACAGCACTGCAATAGCAGTAAACTATTTTGGTAGTACTTTGCTCACTCTAACCAAAAATTAACTTATATTTTGTAACATATTGTGTAGCATTAAAGACAAAAAATTTCCACTAAAAACCTAAAAACATTTACCATCCGGTTCAGCTTGACAGCTAAAATGGCATTTGAGTAAGAATAGTTGCATATTTCTGAACCCTTCTTGAAGTGACAGACATCCAGCTTTCGTGGATGGTCACTGCTGACAAGGGCCACCAAACTACTGGCAAACAGTCTCTCAACCAAATGGATGTTTGGCCTCTCTGAAAGTTGTAAAGAATAAAATATTGAGAAAAAAATTGAGAAAAAACCTGCGGCAGTGAAAATGGCATTATCAAAACTGGAAAACCACACCTAAATATATGTTCTTCTAATATAAAAAACATTAAACAACATACAAAATGTGCGTCAAGAAAAAGAACCATTCCCCAACACTTTGTGACTTTTGCATTTTTCCTCATTGAATCATTGTTTATCCAGGTGCATCATAATGTATAAAGTTATCAGATTAAAGCAATCACTGGTGGTGTTCTAAGATTAGACGAGATGAAATCAAGCTAACATTAGTTCACAAAATCAGGTCATTCTGGTTCACAATGAAACACATATCATCAAAATAATTTAACAACGAGACGAAAAGGGCACAAAAATCCTATGGTGAATATCAAATTCAATTCAGAAATCCTAGTTGAAGATAAAGCCCAAGATAAGATTTAACTACTTCACAATTACAGAACAACACAGTGCGACACTCAGTACTTGGAGTCACATCATTTTTTTTCATTCTTTAAATAAGAGACAAATAAAAAATTAAACTCGTAGACCTGGGCTTTGTTGCCAACAGATCCTGCGCACTAGATAACATAATTCCTGAAGGATAACTTTTTTATTTACACCAATTTAAGTTTAGTTTCAGTAGAGGTTTTACGGCACTCGCAACTGCATAAGGTCGTATGAGCGCCAGAAGATTAGAGGTGTTACAAGAGAGTAACAAACATAAAAAAGGAAGAAGGGGAGAAAAGGACTATGAATGTTTGATAGGAAAGAAGGAGTAAACCACACCAGAGCACCCGCCAACCACCCACCAATTTAAGCTGAGGCATGTGTATATATATATATATATATATTTGGAAGGAAAAAGGTATCAGGCACAGGACTGTGTTCAAGTTGGTAGTGTATAGATGGGAGAAAATGTATTAAAGTTAGCCCGGAAAATTGGACAGCATTTATTTGTCTTATTGTAGCCTCTGTAATAGAAACAACGGTTTTCAATGTAATAATTTCCCTACAGACAAATGAGTATACATTTGGCTGTACCCACCTCATACTTGTATTGCTAGGGTTCATATGTGCATGAAATTACTATTGACTATGTAAATTCATAGGGGGGATAGTTTAAGCTGTTATGTATGAAGTAGAGGTCAAAGTTTATTTTAATACAATTTCAATTTTCTCTTCGATTTGTTCAAACAGACGAGTAAAATTCATAATTCCTAGCTTTATCATGAAATCAAACTCCATGAAATAAAATGTTATATCTTTCAAGGTAACTCTTAACTCCCAGCAGTTTTGCCTATTTTGGCTTTTTCATTATGTTTCAGGGGTCCTCCATACCCTCGAGCCTCATGCAATAATCTATTTACTCCAGACAATGTTAAACATGCATCAAAATCAATGGAAAGGGAATTGGATGGTCTTTCAGACTTAGCTAATAGATTTCTTTTTTTTTTTTGTCAAACTGTCTTCAAGAGGGACGTTTTCTTCTTGTTACTAAAAATAGAAACAAAATCAGAAAATACACTTTTCCAACAGTCACAAAGAAGCAGGGCAAAAAAAGTGTTTGAGAATTTAGAAATTACAATTATATCACGGAAAAGTTCATTCAATTTTGCACATTATGTGTCAAAGATACACCATTCTGTTGGGAAATAAAGAAATGAGAGCCATTCTAGTTCATCCTACAATTCCCTTGATTCTGGAAATTTCATATCATGACGTTTTGCTCTCAAGCCTCCAGCAATAATCTATCAGTTCCAGATGACATATCATCAATAGAAAGGGAATTAAACGGTCTTTCCGACCTAGCCAAAAGATTTCATATTTTTGATAACCTTTCTTGGTGAGTGACATATTTTTCATGTTACTAAAAATAGATGCAAAAACAGAAACCAACAATCACAAAGAAGAAAAAAAATATTTTACAATTTAGAGTTTACATTAATTTGATGAGAAAGTACATTCAGTTCTGCATTTTATGAGTAAAAGACACCTCATTCTGTAGAAAAATAAAGAAATGAGGGCCGTTCTAGTGCATTTTACAAATTCTCCATTATTGCCCTTGAAACTGGAAATTTCAGAGCAAAAATTTTATAATAAAAACATCAATTTTAATACCTATTTCATTATTTTTTAGTCTATTTAGTCATTTTTATTTGATAAAAATACATTACAAAATCTTTCTTCATAAAAGTAAATATATTTTATGGGCGAAATACCACATCACCACCCATCATATACGACATAGTACTGCATGAACTGCTGAGCGTTAAAAGTTTGCACATATACTGACTAGATGCTGAATATCTGCACCACTGCACAGCTCATTATAATTATCAGCAGACACTGGGAGTAACCATGTGGTAAAGAATAATTTCTCTCTTATCCAAACTCTTTTCAAACAAAGTAAGAAGAGCAAGAAAGTAGCATTATGTGTGTTTAAAAAAAAGCATGTTTTAAAGCAGCTGCCTGTGCCTTTTCGTGTAGTTTCAAAGCTCTTTAAATGTAATCCCAAAAAGCAGCTGGCCATGACATCTGATTCATCAAGAACGGAGAGAAGCAAATTTAGTGCAAAACAAGCAGTTTAGCCGCTTCTTTTTTTAAGTAGCCCGTGAAGATGATAATTCTTCTGAGTCTGAATTAAATCATAATATTTTTTCAATAAACAGTGATTCCAATAAGTTAAAGCCAGTGGCAGTGAACAGGAATGCTCTAGATCTAGTAAGTGGACCTAGTTCCAGGGTTGAAGGCCAGATACTATACAGAGAAAGGTCAAGGACCAACCAAAAGATATTAAGAGAATGAGAAAAGGAATGACTAGATCATTCTAGAATCATTTCTTCTAAAAGAGGATGAAAGATCAAGATTATTATTAATTATGGGGCAGAGAAGATCTGAGGACCTGAAAGTAGGAGAGAAGTGCGAACATGAAGTGAACATTTACCGATCAATTTTTGTCACCAAAAGTTTTTAAAGTATTTAATTTCTGAGAAATATCAAGACAATTTCTCTGCCTGTTTACAAATGTGAGGCGGGCTGACAAAATGAGTTACTTCTCGCTATCACAAAAATGGAGATATTGACCAAAAATCGACACAAGGGTCAAATTTGAAGATTTTCTATTGATGCTATATTCTTTAACTATAACCTGTCTTTTATTATCTCACACTTATAAATTGTACAAATGCACATATAAGCGTGATGTATCTATTTTCTTCAGGCTTGAATCCCACAAGTAACTCATTTTGTCAGCACGCTTCACAAATGACTATACTACTACAGTACTACACTACAAGATGGATTTTGGAGACCTTCCTGGTCATTTTCTACAGAACAAGCCAAGGAAATGTAAAAAATCCCTTTTTGTCTCCAATCATTTTCCTTTTTCTCATTTATTACAAATTTCATTCAGATCTGCCAACCACTCAATGACTAAAAAATTGGAGAAATTCTTCCAAATCCTCCCATATTTTCAGAGTTCTGAAAAAAAATTAAGAATCTCCAGAGCTCCAGTCGGTTACATTGTGAACCAACTGAGGACTGTAAATAGATATAGTATACCATACTTGCAATACACACATATTATACCAGCTGGGCCCCTTTTCGATGAAAGGACTGATCGGTGCATTGACATCAACTGAAAGTCGTTGCATATTGACTTGCGTGTTGATTGTTCCCAGTAGCAAGAAAAAGAATCTGACAAAGGAGTCCAGGATAAACGAGGATGGGCATCAAATGAAAGGATCACAGTCGAACTTAGCACCAAGTAAAAAAAGAAAACATGAGGCCAGATCTATACCGGTCGCACACTTAAAATAGTGCTCAGTATTGCGCGACAATGCGCGATTGTATCAAACGGAAGTATGACTTGAAATAAACAAACCTGGCGAATTTTCTCAAATTACAGAGACAGAAGGGTCGGCCTACAAAACAGATCGGCGAAATAAAGAAATTTAACTTTTAGAAGCAAAACTGTCTCAAAACTGAAAAAACGAAAGGCGTCATGATCTGGAGAATATTTTAAAGAATCTTTTGGCAAAAACCGCATGTCGATCAATGCACCCATTCAAAAGCCTTTTGAATAGCAAAATTCGGCCACGACAAATAGATAATAGATATATATATATAGTCATTTGTCAAAGTCAATGTCAATTTAATACAGTACAAAAATAGGGCCAAAAAAATTATAAAATACAGTATTTTCACATCATTATGATCACCAATTGATAATTCAACAATCTAAATAATGGAAAAGGAGTTCAAGAAAATAATCCAACTTTTTATCTTTGCGGGTTCTTCGATGAAGAACCCCCCCCCCCCTTCCCCCAGAGAACTAATTTTATTGGAGTACTAGGAAGGTCTGTCTGCTTGCCTGTTGTACAGACTTCAACAAAAGTTAAGGACCACTTGCAAACACTCTAGTGGTCTTCTTGGGTCGACCTGCACGTGAGCATTCTTGGACTGATCTAGTGGCTCTATGGCGTTGCCTCAGGCTGACACTACGAGAGTGTGATACTGCAAGCCTTCTGGCAACTTCTCAGGCTCCAACTCCATCCTGCACCCATGCCATAGCTCTGGCACGATCAAAGTCTCTCAGCTTTCGTCTTGGTGGCACGTTGATGCAATACTGGATTTTGCGCAAACGGCGGCTTAAATATTGCCACCAAAGTGAGCACAATTTGAGACCATATTGTCCGTTTATGACGTGCACCAAAAATTTTAACCGAGGAATGTCCGTAGTGTCGCACAGAAGTCGATAAAAAGCAGCAAATTTGGCTAAAATTCCCGCGAGGATTTCCGTGCAGCATGTGATTGTGATGGTTTTGCCCCTTTTGGAAGCATTGCACATGCATTGTGGTAACCCATTAACACTTTCAGAGCAAAAAAAATTTGAAACATTCCCTGCTGTCTTTAAAAATTTTATTTTTTAAAAATCAGGGCTGTCTGTCAAGGTGGTCCTTACCTTTTGTTGAAGTCTATGTCATGTAAAAAATCTTCATTCTCTCGTTCTGAGTCTGAACATTTTGGTCAGAAATAGGCCTAAACATCAAAATTTGCAGCGACACAACAGTAACAGGGAGAAGGCTTTTGTGAGTTTAGGAGCTTCAGCATCAGGCATCAGCAGGCTACGCCAGGGAAGGAATGGGAAGAATTTAAAGAAGGTGAGAGTCTGTCAAAGAATTCCCCCTCCCCCCCAGCCTCATCAGTCATTTTTTATAAAAACTTAAACATATTATATAATATTTCAACGCCTGGATGACCTTGACATCAATACAAAATCAGGCTAAACGAGACCAGGTTCTATGAATAAAATGTTTGTCATACGATTCAACTGGCACTAAATTTATTGGATCCCACAGAAGGGCAAGATTATTGGGATGGACTGACTGGACTGGACTGATGAACTCAGGTTCAGGCTGCAGGCAGGCAGTCAGTCACAACTAGTCAACTAGATCTAGATCTAGATATATCTAGATCTAGACTCTAGACTCTAGAAAACTGAGAAATTTTAACTCTCCCTTACCATTATTTTCATGTGTGAACTCCAGGGTGTCAACTGAATTGAGAGGATAGAGTTTGAAGCCATGCTTGGATCCTGTCTGTAGAGACCTGACAAAGAAACAGAAACAAAGTGAATAAAGCGTTTGTGCCAATAAAGACCGTGGACGATTTTTCATTGTTGATATGACATCATCCACAAAAATGGCTGTTATGGTCAGGCAGTGAATTTTGCCTTGTCAAAGATGCAAATACTTACGACGAATCTTGATTAAAATTAACAAACAGCAAGTTCTGCTGTGGTTCAGCAGGGGCCGGACTCAGGAAGCTCATTTGGAACTAGTAGGAGCGAGCTTGCCTTCACTTGGGGAGTGACTATAGCTTCAGATCATAGCCCCCATACACAACAGTCCAAGACGAAACAATAACAAGCGTCCATATTTTGAGAGATCTCATTGGCCAGAACATTTATAACTTGGATTGGAAAGTTATTTCGAAATTAATATTCAAAATATGTCTACGTTGGAACTTTTGATGGGGTTTGTTTCATTTTTCTTTAAATTACCTTATCCATCAACAGACGTTAAAAAAAAATGTCAGGTAGTCTTATTTCTTTCGTAGACAGATATTTTGTTTAATTTTTCCCCCGGAGTCGATGCAATATTTAGATTCTTGGCCTACCTCACGTTGTTGTTGTTGTTGTTGTTGCTGTTGTTGTTGTTGTTGTTGTTGTTGTTGTTGTTGTTGTTGTTGTAGCTGTAGCTGTAATTGTCATAATATGTTGTTGCTGTTGTTGTTTCTGTTGTTGTAGTATTGTTTTCTTTTGAATTAAATTATCCTGCTTCTTCGACGACCATCTTATATGCGTTCGTTTGTTTGTGTGTCGTGTGTGTGTGTGTGTGTGTGTGTGTGTGTGTGTGTGTGTGTGTGTGTGTGTGTGTGTGTGTGTGTGTACTCGTGTGTGTGTGTTCATGTGCGCGTGCGTGCGAGTGTGTGTGTGTGTGTGTATATGTGTGTGTGTGTTTGTGTGTGTGTGTGTGTGTGTGTGTGTGTGTGTGTGTGTGTGTGTGTGTGTGTGTGTGTGTGTGTGTGTGTTATTGGTTCGGGTTGGCTCACGCACTGCTGGTTGTAATTATATGCGGAGCTGGTTGTAATTATTTTATAACGGAGTACAAGTACTCCGGTACTTGTACTTACGTTACAATTTTCGGTACTTTTACTGTACTCCGGCACATTTTGAGAACCAGTATTTTAACTGTACTCCGATACTTTTTATAAAAGTACTTTTGAGTATTTGTAAAGTACATTTTGAGTACTTTTGAAGCTTAATGAAAGAATAAGTGCCGGCATTTCTGATCATAATTTACGGAACAAACATCCGGGCGGGCACAGCCAATCAACCAAGAGTTAAAAGTTGAGATTAAAGAACTGCGCGTCGCGTCAAAGATCAGCCACTCTCGTGAATGTGATCACAAGCGTTGTAAAACTCTATGAAGCGGTAATGATTCCCAGACGGGATCACACCGAAGTGTGAACTGACCGATGGGCGTTTCTTTTCCCTAAACATCGCACTCGCATCTGAGCTCGCCACCTGAACTTCCATCACTCGCTGGGTGGGATAGGGCCTACAAGTTCGCTCCAGGCAGGATCACATCGAACTGTAAACTCTTCCCTGACCATTGAAGTTGAAGGCAGTTTTTCACTCTTCCCGAATTTGCGAGACAGCCTGAATTTTAATTGGCGTGGTCACAGCGTAATGGTACGTAACGACAAATTTAAAGGCGGGGGGACTCAGATGGAAGGCTACAAATTGTTGGACAGGTAATTAAGGGGAGGGGCAGCTGGATAAACGTAGATCACAGATTCTACACTGTAGAATTCTGTGACGTAGATAAAGATCTCGAGACGATATGCTAATGAGTGTACGGTATAAAATTATAGCAAGACTCATGCCACCATGCTACCGTAATTGGTCATCAAGGTTGACCACTCTTTGCTTACCATAATATCTCATAAACCTACCCAGGGGTCACGTCAGTTCATGGGTCACTGTAGATTCTTCCTTGGCTTCGTCAGCTAAGATCCCGTCTTTCCCTTGCTCCCGAGCACTGGGATCTTAGGCGGAGACTACTGTAGTAGAGAATTTTTGGTTACACTACACTTACTAGACTCTAGGAAATTGCATGTTGGCCTATTTTGGTTTGCCGTGGGCTCCGTGGACTACACAGTGTGAACAAAATATGTCTAACCACTATTATAATCAATTGAAACTAAAACTGAGTTCTCAATGTATATCAATCTAACAAATTTTTAGGTTACCTATATTTCTTTTTTCCCTTTTTTGTGTTTTGTGCTTAAGGCTACCTTGATTCCTTGAGGATTTGTTAATGTCAATTTCACGGACCATTTCCACCTACGTTCAGTGCGTATACTCAAATGCTTTGTATACCCTTTACATTATTAGAAATAAATGGCCCCATTTGTCAAATATACTAGATATGTTAGATCTATTCAATATGATGGTTTGCATTAGCACTGAAGTGTTTTAGCACATTAGCAGAAAGTACTCAAAATGTACTCATAAGTACTTTTTTAAAAAGTTCTTGTACTCAAGTACATTTTACAGGAAAGTACTTTTACTGTACTTAAGTATAAATTTTATATTGTACTTAAATTTGTAATTAAGTACCTTTTTAAAAGTACTTTAACAGCTCTGGTTATATGTGGTTTTTATTTTTATTTTCATTTTTTTGTTTGTTTGAAGGAGCGTGATAGATAGAGACAAACACACTGGACAGACTGACAAACAGTAGAGGAGCTAGATAGAATGAGACGTAGCCTAGACGGTCATATAATCAGGCCACCTGCGCGCTACTGACCTAGATTCCTTGTGGGCTTACACACCCGTGTAGTAAGCCCACAACCTTGTAGATCATTAGTAGTGATAAGCCTACGCAGGGTGCGGCGGTCAGTTTGAATTGTTGTTTTCTCATGCTTTGACACTGGATTATTTCTGCCTAATGCAGTTTGCTTTTCAAGTCATCTGGATTATGTGAATATTTTCTACATCATTGTGTGTGTTGAGGAACAGAAGTGGTGACTAATTAATTAATTAATTAAGATTGACCAGCAGTCTTGAGATCGCAAATTTGAAGTGGTGTTTGGCTGCACTGTAGGCCTACTGTTCATTTTCAGATTCTTCATCGCCATCGTACTCAGTGAATGCCTGGATTCTTTTAGTTGAGGCCTAATGCAGTTTTTTTTTCCAAATCATCTGGATTGTGTGAATATCAAATATCTCTTCCATCAGTGTACGTGTTTAGATTAAACCTACAGTGAAGTTTTGACCGTGCACGTTTAATTCATATCTGTCTAAATCCATTCTAAAATCCATGTCTACACAGTGGAGGCCCCCCCTTCTGATCCGCACTCTTCACTGACTTAGAGCCTCTCTATGCATACAACCACTAAAAACGAACTCTCCATCCTATCCCTAGATCTGCTTTTAGATTTAGATTAGTTTGTAACACAAACAATAGACTAAAAGGACCATGTAGATATAAATCTATATATCTAGACTCTGAGCGTCTAGGGGCCCACCCTTGTTAGGTAGGGAAAAGTATACGGATCATAATTATGGGGGAGCTCCTTTGTGTTTTTCCCGACCTGCTTTGTTTAATATCTGCTGTTCTTTCACAGTGCTTACATGCTTCTCTTCTAGGCCTATTTATTGCTTTCATCATGTGTGGTTATGACTCTGTTGGACTGTGACTGACACCTTCAAAATAAACTAAAGGAATAAGAACAACAATGGGAAGAAAATGCTCAGTTGGTGGATGCAAAACTGGCTATGACAGTCAGAAAGGTGCAGAAAAAGTGACCTTGTATGGATTTCCTTCGGATGAAACAGAATGTCGGGCATGGACTGCTAGCTTACCAAACATTTTATCCTATGAAAAGGTGTCAAAACATATCAGTGTGTGCCCTCCATTTCCGTAAAACTCTAACTCAACTCAAGTCAACTTTCTGTCTTTCCATCGCTTTTGTCTGTCTAGAATAATTTTTTACATGTCCGTTAGTTTGAACACAAACACAGGGAAGCTAAACCATTGAGAGAGAGAGAGAGAGAGAGAGAGAGAGAGAGAGAGAGAGAGAGAGAGAGAGAGAGAGAGAGAGAGAGAGAGAGAGAGGGAGAAAGAGACCGCCTAGCCGTGGCCGTTGTAATCATTATTATCATTACGAAGGTCACTGCTTGCTGTGGGCCGAAGCCTGAGCGGCCGGTGTGTCAGCCCACAAGCAAGGTGTGTAGTTCTTGGGCTGCGCTGCCTGATTTATGATCGCCTAGGACGTAGCCTATAGAGAGAGAGTAGCGAGTCAGAGAGGTAGAAATTACACAAACACACGCTTGCACTGGCCGGCCGGAGGGGGTCAAACGTTTCCCTGGCACTTAAATACGTACCGTATCACGACAAGGGTGGCACGAGATGAAAAAAAAAATATTTTGATCTATTACACTCTCCTTTCAACCAAATTGAAATTCAAGTGAATGTGAAATGTTAATGCTTCTTATCGTTCAAAAATCACTCTTCCGATTTGAAGGCGCCCTGAGAGACTACGCGATGCCTTATAGTTATTATACTGCCTGCTCAATGGTGACGTCAGCCTTGCGGCCAATTCAGCTTTTTTCCCCGACAGAGAGCAAACGGCTTCCATAATTTTTTATTTTTTTAAATTGTCAATTGGCCCGAGCTCCTGTTTCTTAGATCTACAAAGGAAGAGCGATACGCGAGAAGAATAAATACATGTACATATTTTTACATAATTTCACCAATTACATTTATCATTCAACCTGTCTCTTATTGTGCTTATTATTGTCAGCAGTGTTGATATAACTCCATCCCTCCCTATCTTCACGCACGCTCTACCTACCACTCATATTCTTCTTCTCTCTGTCTGTCTCTATTACTCCCCCTCTGTCTGTCTGTCTGTCTGTCTGTCTGTCTGTCTGTCTGTCTGTCTGTCTGTCTGTCTGTCTGTCTGTCTGTCTGTCTTCATGTCTGCCTGCCTGCCTTCTGTCTAGCTGTCTGTATGTCTGTTTCTCTCTCTCTCTCTCTCTCTCTCTCTCTCTCTCTCTCTCTCTCTCTCTCTCTCTCTCTCTCTCTCTCTCTCTCTCTCTCTCTCTCTCTCTCTCTCGATCTCAATCTCTCTCTCTCTCTCTCTCTCTCTCTCTCTCTCTCTCTCTCTCTCTCTCTCTCTCACACACACACACACACACACACACGCGCGCGCACACACACACACACACACACACATGATGTGTTTGTTTCAGTCTCAAGAAAGTTTTAATCTCGATATCCGCCTGATTTTAATTTCGTGACCACAGCTGACTAGAGCTCAGTTGACATAACACACGCCTTGTGTGAAATTTTGCAGGTCAGGACAGCAGAACCAAACATTATGGAGACCGCCAGAGCTGATGGCTTCCCAGAAAAATAACCGATTGGGTTTTTCAGAGGTTCAGAGGGTGTTGCAAAGAAATCGCTTTTGCTTATGATCTAAGCGACGTTTTTCAATGAAATTTCACGTGGGGCCTACAATTAAAGACCTACACCAGCAACTACATGTACTTTTAAAGTTGAATGTTTTTATTTCTAAGCTTCACTAAAGGCGGGTGTGTCAGGTCGGTAAAAGGCTGAATGGTAACATTATGACGGGAAGGTCGTTATAAGGTCGGTATGGCTAAAAATAAGGAAGAGGGTTAAAGGGTGTTTATATATTTTTTTTCTTTGAAATCTATATATTATATAGATGGCTCTTGTGAAGATATTATGGAGTTGGCCTCTCATTCAAAGGTCCTGGGTTCGAATCCGGCTAGCGACCGAAACATTTTATTCTCTAAAATCGTTGCCTCCTGCTTTCATCTCCTTTCCTGCTCTCCAGCAAATTATGTTATGTCGTCTACTTACGACTTCTCTTTCTGCCACCACCCCCTCACCTCCTTTTGCCCCCTCCGCTGGGCTCCTGACTATAGGCTCTTTCTGCAGCCTTAATAATATTCTACTGTTACTCCTTGGTTCCTGCTTAACTGCTGTTTTCAGCCACCCTGATCTTCTGGTAGGAATTAAAGATCTGCACCTAGCCTTTTCGGACAAGGGTGAAAAATCTCGGAGGGCTCGTGTGCAAGTTTGCGCACGTTAAAGATCCCTTGGTGGTCTAAAATCGGCTTTAAGCCAGAAAAATTATGAAATTATGCAAACTGAGCCCCAATCATGTGAAATTAAGCGATTCTGATTTAAAAAAAACAAAGTATGATAAAGGAAAATAATCAGAAATTAAGCACAAAAATGATCTAATTTTGCTAAATTAGGTTAGGCAGGGTGCATAAAACCAGGGGACAGCTTTGCAAAGGTTCATGTAAACGCACGCTCCACGTGTAAACACACGATAAGGAGCCCTCCCGAGCACCGTGCGTTTAGGCGAAGACTACTGTAATATCGATTCTTTAACCACGAATTTTAACATTTTACATCGAAATATTGACCAGAATCAAACGCGTGCTGCGAACTGCAATGTATATATAGCTATATAGCCTATAGCTATAATTGTGAATGCAACGCCACTCATTCGCGAGCTCATATGACCTTATGCGCAGTAAAGCTCTTACCAAAACAAACAAGCATAATGTCGATCCTTTTGATTCATAAGCAATCAACATTAATTTTATCTACATGTGCTTTGCATTTCAACTGACCCCCGCAAAATACTCAAATTGCACCCCCCCCCCACTACTGCGCGCACCGCATAGTCTACACACCTAACTAAAACTAAAACAATGATAAATCATTCATTGCACATAGATCTCTTTTCGGCTGCTTGGTACACACATGGGGGGACAGATAGCGATTGTTGTTGTTTAATGGAATGCCTTCTTGTTCTTTTTTATTATTTGAAAAAGAAACATAAAAAAGGTTGGGCAGAAATATTATAGGCCCTAATAATTTTATTCGACAGGGCAAGGTCTAGCCTGGGCTAATTGTGTTGTCAAGTCAAGCTGCGGAGTATTGCCAGCTTGTCATTTCAATGCTCTCAAGTTTATGAAAAGAAAAGACAGAGCTGTAAAGTCTTTCAGGATAGTAGTTTTTAAAATTTGGTTAATGAAACCCAAAATATCTTTGCAATACAAAAGGCTTTTTCTACAAACAAACGACTCACCGGAGAGATAAAATATTAAATAAGCTCATTGAGAACTGTTAATTTAGCACACAAAAAAAGTCTGACTCGATTGCACCAGTTCCCCAAAGGGACATAACAAACTTTAAAAAATAGAAATCTATACTAAGACAAAACCAAGTTCGTGCGAAAAAAATCCGTCATATCATTCAAAACAGGATGGCACTTTGTTTACAACCCAGTGTGCTTTCAATGGGAATACAATGGTTGTGCTTTAACCAACGAAATTGAAACAAGTTTTCATTGCCAGCTAGATCTAGATCTACTTGTTTCTAAAATTAATGTCCTGGTTAGATTTTCTAGAGATTCTATGTGTTCTGTGTATTGAATTGATCCTTGATGGGAAACCCCCTTCCCCCTTCAAAACTGAATGATTCTTCTAGATCTGAAGAACTAGCCTAAACCAGGTAGCATTCTGGAAAATGCTATTGCTATATCATTGTCATCACCGAACAGAGCGCTTTCAGTTTGAAGCAGAGCAAAATAAACAAAGGTCATATATGGTTACGCAAAGGCTATTTTAATGCTCTGAGACTAGAATCTAGAAACACACTTTATGCATCTCTGGCCTGGGGCTGGTTCTGAGGACGGCAGAATTTCGATTACAAGTGTGCAGAGGTTCAAGTTGTCAGTGCGTTCTAGGCTAGATCAAGATCTAGATTAGATCTAGATCTAGTCTGTTCCAGTGATGTTCAGTATAGACTTTTGTTTTTAAAGGCCTTTCAGTTTGTTCCCTTCTCTGGTAAAATTGAAGAATAGCAGACCACCTGCCACTGCCAGGAATACTTTTTCTAAGTTTCGAGCCCAAATAGAAAAAAATTATATTCTCGGACTCTGAATTGATTCCTGCATGTTGTCCGTTCCGACTTCCGACGTTTGTTCCTAGATCTAAATATTTCCAGCATTTACGAAATTTGTTCTATTATAATGTTGAAAACAGTCGAGACGTGTGTATATTATCCAGTTACTAGATATATAGATCTAAACTGGCCCTCCCTGCATCATTGGTAGATCTATGAACAGAACGATTAAGTTGAGCTGACCTTGCCGGGGGCAAAGTTAATGTCGACCAATGAGACTGCGCATAGCAATCTCGCACTCTCGGCTTACTGGGGGAAGAGTCCACAGCTGTGGGTTTTGTGCGATGTTTGTGATAAAAGAAAAGAACATTACAGAAAAACTATAACACACAATAAAATGAAATTAATATAGGAAAGACAATCGGCGGAGGAAGTAATGATGATGCTGTAGTGGTGATGGAAGGACCCTGAGTAGTCGGTTACCGTGTACTTATAACACTACCATTGGGTAGATCTAATGAGAGTGGAGTACTTTTGACAACAATTACACAATCCTAGTATAGAGGCAATTCTAGTTCTAATTCTGGTTTTACGTAAAATCCCCCCGACGACTGTTATAATATTATGTAACCTCCTTACACTCACAAGAGTCACTCAGAAGCTGAGTCCGAAAAAATAAAACATTTTTTTTTCGGACCCGAGTCCGAATTGATAGAGATAGATAAAACCCATATCGGACTCAAGTCTGAATAAATTATATTCGCACTCGAGTCTGAATAGAGCTGGCCATACTTTTTTTGGCACTAAAAACTATGGCAAACAAGGCCTATCTAGATCTCTATCTATTATTTTTCTGACTTTAGCCAGGGGGTGAACTTCCTGCACCCCCCTATCTACACCCCCCACCTCCCTTTTCTACCTGAGTAGATCTAGTGGTGGTCTGCTAATGTTCAATGAGGCCCCTTCTCTTTTTGTCTTCTTCCAATTTACCTACAAAAGGTATTTGAAGTCAAGCTTCGATGGGAATTAGATCTTATATTAACTGATTTCTATGTTGAATTCTCAGAGATCTCCAACTCTTGACTCCTGGCCTGACAACCTGGGCAGCCTGAGAGTCAGTCAGTCTGAAGTTTTTATTGATCAATTGGGTTGGTATTAGATCAGATACTAGTCAGTGGGAATAGTGTGTAATTCAAGGGAAACGCTATGCTATAATATAACTATTTTTCAAGTGGACTGGAATGAAACTGGACATAAATGCACAGAGACAACAATGTCTGCTGTGTTAGCGTGGGGCAAAGCTACCTTTGGGGTGCTTGGAATTGGCAGCTCTGAGGAGAATGCAGTCAGGTCTCCAAAACAAGTTGAGACCTTGGACAACGTTGACCTTCGTCAAATCAGTATTGGAGAGAACCATTCTTTGATATGCGGAAAGGATGGTGCAATTTTTAGTTGTGGTGCGAATGATTTCAGTCAGTGCGGACGGGATAGAAACCTCAACAAATTTGGTAATTTAGCTTTTTATTGATTTGAAATAAAAATGAAAGAATTTAAAATGTTATATCATGATCTTTTAAAATCTTTTTGGTTATATGTATGCCATTTATAGGCCCCCCTATAGACTATTTCTTGTAAAATTTTTTTTTTTTTGCAAGGCTAAGTTGTCTGTACAGTGGGTGTCGCATTCAACGAGGTCACATTCAACAAGAAGTAGGCTCCAACGAGGCAATCCTTGATCCCCCATCTTTTCCTCTATATCTGTAAATGTACGTCAGCTCCAACATGTTTGCAAACAGACCGAGTCGCTTTCAACGAGGTCGCGATATAACCAAATAAAAGCAATTAGCAGCCCCAAAAACAAAGAATTGTTCTCCTTCCTTTCCATCTCTTACGAAGCACAAGGCCCATCTTCGATTCCTAACGCATTGTATTGCTAGATCTAGTGTGTCTCCTAATATTGGCCCCAAAGCCAAGAAGAGGATGGGCGAGGGTTAGGCTACGGTGGGGATGGGTCAGAACGCGATGCGGTCTGTGTGAAACTGGATGAACTCTGGATGGGTAGGTCTAGATCGAGACCTTTATTTTTTTCAATTTTCTTTTCTTCCCCTGATCAGAAAATCCAAGCTCCCGCCTTTACTTTTCTGTAGATATATCCTTTACTTTTCAGTAGATATTTAGGCCTAGACGTGAGAGGGCATGTTACCACACGAGAAGCGCTCCGTAACAAAAAATATTAAAAAATGCAGAAATGACGGTCAGAACACAGCTCAAACACGTGCACACTGATGCTGTTTGAAATTTTCGTCTTCATGGGGAACAACTGTTTTAATTATTGGTATTGATACACATATAGTGTAATATTATAACTTGCTTGTCTCCTTTCAGCCTTAGTCACGTTCAACGAGAGGTCGGATCCTACGAGGACAATGTCAAGCCGGTCCCAACACCTCGTTGAATGCGACACCCACTATGACTTTCGAAAATTTTTATAAAAGAGTTAAAGGTCACCTTTTTATCAACTCAGTATAAAAATGATGTAAAGTTTAAAAAAGAACTAATTTTTCCTCTGAGAGACCTCTGGCTCTGGCACATGGTCACTTTAAAGTTAGAGAGATTTATCTTAGAGGTGTATAGACTTTTAAGTGTTAAATTCACACCATGTGAAGGCTATTATTAGATCTACACACATCATTTTGGAATGATTGTAATATGTGGACTGTAGTAAAAGTGTTTACTTTTTAAAAATGGGAACAATTTAGTTTGGACTTCTAACTTTCTGTCTGTTTAATTAAATGAAGTGACTATTTCAGCGAACGGTTTCTGGTCTAGAGGTTTTTTGGTGATATATTTGCGAGGTTTAGGCGCCATCCTTTCATTCTGCCATTCTACGAGGACTGGGAGGAAGCATTTTTTGCATTGAATTCAATTTCCAAAACTATAAATTTTTTAATGTCTGAATACAGTGGAGTCCACTCATAACGAGTCCTGAAATAACGAGATGTCTGTTATAAAGACACTATTTCTAAAAACCCCGGTTTTTTACCTTCTTTGTCTTTGTAAATAAAATACTGCTATAATGCAATCAGACAAACACATGAGTCGGTTATAGCGGAATATTGCTGCTTCTGTGCACAGCACATAGAGGCCAATTATACATAAGTTGAGAGACTTGTTGGTGATCAAGCGAAACAAAGGATGGGAGAGCCTACATGTGTCTACAATGAAGGCCGGAGCGAATGAGTGTGGAGGGTGTGGCATGCGCAGACTCGGAGAACACATATCGCATTATAGGCCAGCCTAGTCTAGGCCTAGATTATCTAGGCCTATCATGCTACTCACTTCCCCGATGCAGGGATGGAGAGGTCACAGTGGATGGAGCGAGTGTGTGACGTGCGCAAGCAGACGGAACACTCCTCAGGGTGTGGTGTAGTGGAAGACAACACAGCGGGCGAGTTAGCCTAGAGCTAGAGAACTTTCTTTCTAATTGCCAACGCCAAGCTGTCAACATCGCTAGCGCTAGAGAGAGAAACCTGATTTGATTTTTGATCAAGTATGACCTAGAGGTCATGTTAAAACAAAATCATCATCAGGGGAGATAAAAAAAGAAATAAACAGAGCACCAAACGCATAGATTAGGCCTACTTTATTATTTCCATTGAATTTATTACTGGATCCCTTATTACAAGAATCTTATTATAACGCACATTTCGCACCGGTCCCCTCCCTCTCGTGATAACAGGATTCCACTGTATTCAGTTGTGGTTGGGGCAACGTGCCCGGACTATACTTCAATTGAAAATTGAAAATACCTTCAAAAGGTACTGCGAGAGAACAAGACTGCGCGACCTTGGCAGTAACCTATTTTACATGTAGTCACCCAGCAAAAACTAAAACCCTTCATGTAAAAAAAAATCCCTTCATGCCTCCCCCCCCCGTTCACACCTTACACACACACTGACAGACACACACACTCACACACACACACACACGCATGCACACACACACACACATGCACACTCACACACTCACACACTCTCTCACACACACTCACACACGGGCCACTCCATTTGCTTATTATCAACAAATCTCGAGAACGGAAACCGTTCGGAGAAATACAGTTCAACTTTATTTTCCTGAAGTTTCGGAGAAATAGAGAGCCAGCCTTAATTAAAAGGCCACTGGACAACCCCCCCCTTCCCCCACCCCCACCCTTAGTGTTTCTTCCCAGACCCAAGACATGCTTTGATGGGAGAAAATTGCGTCATCATCAGTTGAAGTGAAATGGTGATTATAGTAAAACTTTTTTTTTCACTTCGCAAGCACCTTGTGTTTTTTTGATGATATATCGATAATTTAGTGTAATTTTACAACATGATAATGTATGTAATTGTAATAATCAAATTCTAATCTCTTTCAGGACGAATTGAAGCTGGTCTGCTTTCTCAGCAAGTTATTCAGGTAGCAGCAGGGGCTAATCACAGTGTGGCCTTGACACAGGCTTGGGAAGTTTTCACCTGGGGAAAAAATGACTCTGGCCAGTTAGGCCGTGGGGATATCCCAGAGGAAGCCAGAGGCATACCAAAGTAGGTTGTGTGGCAGATTTGGTTCATAATTTTGTGTCTTCCCTTGTCTTGTCTGATCTTTCGATTTTTACACACAAAACTAGATGTAAAGAGAATCTGCTTTTGAAGATACAGGGAGAGTGTGCATTCATATTTTCAGGTCAGTAAAATTGGAGTGGACCCAGGAGCTTGTCCAGTGAAGGTGAAGTTCATTTCACTTTGCAGTCTAGAGGTCTCTTTCAATGACAACAATTTCTTAAGTCACTTTGTGATTGGATTCCTCTTGCAGAAAGGGACAATAATAAGGATATATGTAAGCGTGCTGACAAAATGAGTTACGGTTCTTCTCGGATTCAAACCTCAGGGAAATAGATCATACATATAGGTGAAGTTTTGTACAATTTTATGTATGAAATAATAAAAGACAGGTAATAGTAACAGAATTTGGTGCCAATAGAAAATCTACAAAATTAACCCCTTATGTTGATTTTTGGCCAATATCTCTGTTTGTGGACTGCGAGAAGTAACTCATTTTGTCAGCACGCCTCACATATTATGATAGAAACACACATACTCATACACACACACACACACACACACACACGCCACGCGCACACACACACACACACACACACTCACACACATACACATACACCACACACACATACACACACACACACCCACACACACACACACACACTCACACACACATACACACACACCACACACACACATACACACACACACACATACATACACACACACACACACACACACATACACAGAGGCACACACAAATACACATGCAGATAGACACATACATTTTATGTACATTATATTTTATATGTTACACTATTTATAGTAACAATATAACAGGAACAGTTTGCAGCAAACTTAATTTAATATTACTGATATAGGGAGCCCTCAGTCTCATGTTCGTCTCATTCAGTAGATCCCGGATTTGAAACCATACGACGTAAAATTTTCTTCTCTAATATTATTTTCTCCTTTCACCTCTTTTCCTGCTCTGTAACCATGCTATGTTGTTTGCTTTCATCTCCATATTCTGTCCAACCCCCGCACCACTGTTTGCCCCTTCTTCTGGGCTTTTGAATCTTTCTGCAGTCTTTCTACTACTACTCCTTGGCTCCTTCTTATTGCTGTCTTTCAGCCACACCCCTGTTCTTTTGGGCAGGAAAGATTTGATATCTACTAGCCTTCTTGGATTAATGTGAAAAGTCTTGGAGGTCTTGTGAAAGTTGCACACATTAATTAAAAGATCCTTTGGTGGTCCAAAATCGATTTATGGCTGCTTTCACAAATCGTCCTGCCCTACAAAGAGTAGGGGGCCAAACTTAAAATGTTTAATGTGTCCCACGCCGCACTCATGTGACCTTATATTATATGTGGTTGAGACTGATGTAAAACACTTAACAAAACAAAAACAAAATATTATATATCCTTTTTCAGATACACTTGTTCACTGAATTAACTTGAGAGCAACTTTGTTCTAGGAGCAAAGATGATATTTTTAGTGAATTTGTTGGATGGTGAAATCTATGTCATTAACATATTATGCACACGCACACACACACGCGCACACACACCTTATCATCATCATCATAACATCACTATTGCAAGTTTCAGCTGTTCTGTAGAACACTTTCTGAAATGAAATGAATCTTCCAACAGACATTGTATACGATGTCAGTTTTTCAATTCTCTTTTTATATCTCACATGTTTTTATATTTTAAAATTCTGATTATGCCATGAGATACTAATGACATTATGGACTTATCATGAGAAATGTTCGTAGTGCTGTTTGGCTTCATGTTCGAAACTGATACTCAAATCATATTTTAGAGAAGTTAACTGGAGTCATTACAGAATTCCTCTCTTATTCTTTTGTCAGGGAAGTCAGTACATTGTATGAGGCTCTGTTTAATGTGATTCTATCCATGATTTTTGATATTGTATATGTAATTTAGACTCTGGATGGAGATTTGATTTGTGACAATATCTTACTTTATATGTATTAAATTTTTCAGGTTAGTAAAGTCACTTGCTGTTCATTGTGTTCTACAAGTCGCTTGCGGGAATGATCACTGCATTGTACTCACAAACGGTGAGAAAGGTCACCCTTTCTAAGCTTTAGTATAGCTCTTATCTTTTGGGTTTTTTTTCGTTCTACTTTTTGATTGGTTCCTAGAAAATTTATCATGCTGAATCACTGTAATTTGGGATAGGGCTTGACAACAACATGCATGTTCTTGCTGTATACTGTTGTATGGGGAATGCATTGAACAGCAAATTTTCTGAATCCAAATTTTTGTTCTGTATCTAGTATCTCTTTTCAGTATGGAGAAAATAATCTGTACACACTCTTTTGTGCTTATTTTCAAATGCTCCAGGCTGTAACCCTGAGACCAGTTGTGCTGATTACAAAAAGAGCTATGACCATTGAACACTCATTTTTGTTGTGTTATTTTAAAATGAAATTTGGTCTGTTAACTTTGAACATTAATTATTTTGTTGTATTTTGCCCATGTTTGCTAACCTTTAAGCTTTTGAAGGCGTTAAAGGAGTACCTATTGTATTAATTTGCTGTTCAATGTTAATATATGTGTGGAGGGTAAGTTCTTGTGGGTGGTTGGAGGGTGCCATTTGTAGGTCAGATATTTCTTTTCTTTCCCCTCTTTCTTTTTATCTGTCTATCTTGCCTGTTGTTATTGTATAGTTGTTCTCTGTTTCACTCAAACGAACAAGTCAAAAAGATAGGTTCTTAATCTTATCAGACAATGGCAAAAATTCTCTGGTTTGGTCTTACCGAGATTCGGAGGACTTTGATGAATAAATCTCAGGCAAGTTTAGACATCACTTTTAATTCCAGGTTCAAATTTGGTTATTTTAGGGAGTTTCTTTGTCCACAGATAGTCTTGTCAGAGTCTGGGGTTCCAATTCATATGGGCAGTTGGGCTTAGGCAAGAATGCAGCGGGGAAGTACCAGAACATTCCAGAGGTTGTAACATCTGTCAAAGGGATCCCTGTGGAGCAAATAGCTGCTGGAGGAAACCACTCGTTCCTGCTGTCAAAGTCTGGAGCTGTCTATGGTTGGGGGAGGAACAGGTAACTGTACTGTAGTTTTGTATGTTTTGTTTTGAGTTTCTCCCCCCCTTTGGTATTTGTTGATCATTTCAAAGGCTGAGTGCAGGACTTTAGAGGTTACAGCTGAGAAGGAAAAAACGGAAGGAGAGAAAATTCAAAATGGAAAAATGATACTTAAATGAAAATGTCATCCATGCGCTACTGAAAGAAAAGGTAATGTGTGTTGTTCTATCGAGAGATGGATACTGGTTTGACTGTAGCCGTTTATTTCCCCAGCCGATAAGAGTGGGAATTCAAGAAGAGGACACCGTGTTGCCGACTTTGACACAAGTCAATACAGAAAGTGTCCACTGTGGAAATTGAAAAAAATGTTTTCACTATCGATGTTGGTCTTGTATCTCAGAATGAATTTACAACTATGTTTAGTATTTGCAGGGTTTAAAAAAATATTTTTGTTCCAAACGTATCCTTTAGTTTTGTTATTTTAGTCTGGTAGGTTTGCACTGAGTGTGTAAATGAATAGCTTGTGGGTTGATTCCTATCTTAGCCAGGTAAAATGTTGTGTCCTTTGGGAAGGTACAACTTACCCTATTTTTCTTTTGTTCTCCCAGTCGTAAGGGAGTACTTGGCTATCGATGGAGACAAATGTGGTGAGAAGGACGCTATACACACAACGGGTTGCTGTGCTTTATTTTCCCAGGGGACTGATGTGTTCTTTTTAAGTGTTAACAGCCTTCTTACAGAGGGGTACCGTAGTGTGGATAATTATTTAAGCTCTTACAAATGAACTTTAATAATGGTTGTGCTCATGTTTGTTTCAGTTTTGGTCAGTTAGGAGTGAACGATACCAAAGGTGAGTACATTTATGAGAATGATTTTAATGTATTGAAAGAATAACCCTAATCTTGATCAGCTTGTGATATATTTTTAAAATAATTTTCTAACACTAATGGAAGTATATCGTCGGCCTTGTGATAAAACGACTAACCCACAAAGTATGACATTTTTTTTTATTGGCCCTATCGATAGTAAATTGTCCATTTCATATGCTCACTTAAAGACAGATCTGAATTTTGTCTCGAAATGTCTTTAAAACATTAGAAATAAAACCGTATAACCCGGCACCCTTAGGGTTTTAGCCCAATAATTCCGACTATCCCACCTGCGAGGGAGGGAATGTGGGTTGGCTGTTTTTGTCGCGCTAATAATGAGGGGCCACGTGCTACGTTACCAACTAACCCGGACTTCGACTCGTCTCTGGACTTCGTTTGACTTCAGATTCAGACCTGTGATAGTCCAGAATTCGCTCATGTAACCGTGGGAGCTCTCCAAAAAGGAATATTTGTTTAATATTTCTTGTTGGTTTCTTTGGGGAGTTATACAGATCTAGTTGTTTCTTCTTTTTTCTTCTTTTTTCTTCTTTTTTAATACTGCTGATTATGTTATTGATGACTAAAACTACTTACTGTTCCCACAGAACTGTTTATCTTTTGACAATGCCGGTATTTAAAATGCATCTTTTTGGATTTTTTTTCATACGACATTTTTTTTTCTGTCCATGTGCTCTTCCTTGTCTTTGTACTGGAAAGTCACCAAATGGTGAAGGCATATTCCTCTATTCGGACTTCTGTCTCTTCTCCTAATCAACTTTTTTCTTCCCAATTGAATTGACAAAGTCGATAGCATTTCATTCTTTACTAACTCACTCAGAAAAAAAATTGTGGGACCTGTCCAGCACACTGCCTGCCTCCAACAATTATTGTTGTTTTAAGCGTTTCTTCCCTTTTTTTATTTGCAGTGTTTAATGCAGTCATTACCTTCTGAGACATCTTTCAACTTTCTTTGATAGTTCATTTCGTTTATGTTTTGTATAGATTATTTTTTTAGTGTCATATAATGCTTTATCCTTATATCAAACTTTAACTTATGTAACGCTATAACATTCCATCAAATTATGCCACTCTTGCTGCGTCACCTCTGACCTTCAGTGCAATGGAAATTGATCAACATGACCAGGCTAATGTCACACCAGCTGATGATACGACCGTTATGTTACCCTTGATCTCTGCAAAAAGGACTTGCGATGAAAACGATTGGAAGGTTAACTAAAGGAAGAGGTTGAAAAAACTGGGAATGACTCTACACATGTCTAGGCACGAAGTGCGCAGGGCATGAACTTAACGTCCTTTGCAGTTGTCAACTGGTTGGTACAAAATGCAATGACATCACTAGTCACTCTCTTGGAAGGAAAAGAGAGCCTACGTATATGCCATGATAGACAGGATAGACAAAAAGAGATCTTACACAGCAAGTGAAAAACCAAGAAGAAATTACACCCTTCAACACCACTTTAAAAAAGTCAACGGTTAATTAAAGAATTTCTGTTTGTAAAACTATCTTCATGAACACTACAGGCCTGACCCACTGGTTTATTTAAAGTGTCTTCTCCGGAAAAAAACAACCAAGACCCCCCCCAAAAGAACTCATCATGCCCACCACGAGAGAGCCAAGGACGACAAGTTGTTCCATAAAGAGGAATTTTTTGACAAACTTTCGAAGATACCCTCCTGTCTGCAGATGAAAATCCAGAACATGTCAGATCTGCATCGAGTGTCCCTCGATAAATGTGCTGAGAGGCAGAAAAAACAACATTGAGCTATCAAGTGTTCTGCCAAAGTTCTAGAAAAACAATTTGGGTTTACTTTCAACCAAGAAAGACCAGTGTGACATTTGCACCAGCTTCGCATCTAGAAACCCCACAGAAACAGAATACACTGCTCATCAAATATGAATATGATTAAAGCTGCATCTCGAGCAGAGAAAGAGGACATGGAGGCTGCACTGAACCCAGAGAACAAAGTGTGCGCCTTGTTATTGGAAAGATGAATAATTGAGAGTTACGGGCCCATGAGACTAGGGGGCACTGGGCGGGCCGAACAGAGTTGCCGCCCTGTGACACTAGGGACGCCAAAACATGGGTATAAAAGCGAGGTGGGAATTCTGTGCGCCCCTTCTGTCCCGTCTCAGTTCTGCTAGAGATGAGAGTGGCCGACGTTGTCGTAGCTGCAGGCGAAGTGACTTCCTGACGACGCGATCTGAGCCGGCCAGCGCAGGCGCGTCGCCACCTTGCAGATCCTCACATCTTCTCCTGCTAGTGAGTTCGGTAAGTACAGTCTTTCTACCTCGCAATCACACGCCTTTTGTATGGAGATCCAGAGCGTCCTTCTGCCACCATTACTATAGACATCCGCTTTATATTATGAAATAAAATTGGCTGAATACAATTTTATGATTTAGGATCTTGCCACCAGAGACACCAGATGATATGTTTGGGATGAAAGTGAAGGTAGTCTGAGCTCCAACAGTTTTCATCATGACTAACTCACTACCTCAGATTGCGAGCGACTGACTTCAACCACTCCATCATCTACAGTGATGAGTGCAAATAGCAAAACGGAAATGCCACCCTGGCGAGTGCAATGGCCTCGCTTGCCAAAGAGCTTGACATCACAGTTGAGCAGAAATTCTCACCAAGGGCCATACCCAAATGGAGGTGGATTCAGTTAATTGCACTATTGAGCGATCGCTAAAAAAAACCGCACTGATTTACATCACAGTGGACTGCGTGAACAACCTGCACCAAGCTAGACGCATCCCCAGGCCCTATGAAGTTATGTACCTGGACCACAGCATTTCCAAAGATTTTGCAAAGGTCAGAGAGTACTAAACGATCCGCTCAGGGAGAAAACCAGGTGACTGTACTGTCACTGACTTGCGGCACCAAAGTACACTCCAGTCTTCAAAATTCAGTACAAGCTGAACTTTGATGATGAATGGCAGGCGCTGCAAGGACCAAGTAAGCTGAACACCCTGTGTACAACAGTTACTGCTAGACCTCTCTACAAAGACAGTGAAGATAACTGCTAGCCAGTATAAGCATCTACAGGAGTTAAAGGCTGTTGTACCACAATGCTACCACAATTATTATGACACTTTGCCTCTGTAAGAAGCTTTGAAAGCGATCAAGTAAAATTCGATTATTGTAGTCTTTCAAAACAGTGGTGACTTTTTGTCGCATTGCTTTGTTATGGCCATAGGACACAGATTGAGACAGAAATGCTCTTCTGTTGTTGAGAAAGCTCAATAAAGTAGTTGTTGTCAAGCCATGGGCGCATTCTTTGATACTTACAAAGTCTTTTTGTATATAACATTATACTATTATTTAACCTGCTTCACTCAAATCATTGCTGAGGTAGTGGAGCTTTTTTTGTGTCTTTCTGCTTTCATTTCTTTCCGATGTTTGAATGACCAGCCAGTGTCAATAGTACCGTGTCAAACACAACCATAAGTTCTAAAGGCATGCTGCTGCTGCTACTGCTGCTACTATTACTGTTGTTGTTTTTGTTGTTTTTGCTGTAGCTGCTCTCCCTTACCCTTTGAACCTCCTGCTCTTCTACTTCAAATGTTGTTAATAGACCAATTGCTGTATTCTGCTTCTTCTACTTCTGGTAAATTGTCAACTTTGTGACTGCTGTTTTTGCCTGAATTGACTCCATAGCTCTCAAATGACAGCAGCTGATAGTATGGTTGTAGGGATAAAATCCTCCTCCTCCTCTTCCTTCTTTTTCTTTTTCTTACTACTCCTCCTCCTCCTCCCTTTTCTCTTTCTCCTTATCCTACTCCTCCTCCACTTACCTCTCCTTTTTCTTCTTCCTTTCCTCTTCCTCCTCCTCCTCCTCCTCCTCCTCTTCCTTCTTTTTCTTTTTCTTACTACTCCTCCTCCTCCTCCCTTTTCTCTTTCTCCTTATCCTACTCCTCCTCCACTTACCTCTCCTTTTTCTTCTTCCTTTCCTCCTCCTCCTCCTCCCCTTACTTTTCTTTCTTCTTCTGATGATGATGATGATACATGTAACATAAAAGATCACGACGATTGAAACAACAGATCAGATGCGTTACTGGCAAATGGGGCTTGGCTGCATTCAAGCCCAGCAGTAGCTTCCTGACAAAACCAGCCAACCCACAAAACTGAGGATTGGTCGGTTTTATCTGGAAATATTTGAGCGACATAACCGTCCAACCCACACAGTTTCATTAAAAGTGATTTTTAAAGGAAAAAAAGGTCTACAGTTTTTCGTAAAGTGTTATTATAGGTTTTTAAAGCACTGATGTATCGCTAGACACCTTTGTTTTGAAATAAAACAGTTTTTTCCTTCTCCTGTAAAATTTACCCCATTTGGGTTTGTCGGTTTTATCACAAGGCCTACGATATGAGAAGATTGGCAATAATGGAAGATTACCACTTCAGAAGTCATAAGAAAATGTAAAAAGACAGATCCAGTTTTCCATACTTTGTGGACCATGATTAAAAGGGATTTTTACCCAATCAAAAATGTTTAATCATTGCTATGTTTCTCTTTTGAGGGATTAAGTTGGAAACGTTTGTTTCTAAAAAGTCCTCCCTTTTTTATGACTGGCATATTGGTCTTGAACAAAGATGACTTCATGCTGTGCTTCTTGATTTCTTGATGACTTCACAGATTATGATATGCCAAGACAGTGCCGTTCATTGAGAACTCAAAAAATCAAATACATCTGTGCTGGGGAAAATCATTCTGCTGCCCTCACTGCGGTAATTATTTCTTTGTTAATTTGTCAGTTTTTAGACCTATTTGTAAGTCTTTCTGGCCGTTTGGCTTTCTGTCTAAGCCTGTTTGTCTTTTTGTCAGCCTGTCTCTTTGTGAAAATTACTGCGTGTCTCTCTGTCAGGCAGTCTTATAGTGAAAAAGAAACGTAAATTATGCATAGCATGAACTAGTAATACTAGGCATTTTGCGTGAATTTGTTCATTTGTTGTTTTCTTTCTATGTAAGACGTGATTTGTTTTATTTGTATGCTTTGAAAGTACCATTGTAAGATAATATTATGAAATGGACAATTGTGAAATACGGTATTCTGTGTTTGTATATGGGTGAGTAGTAGTGACAATTGGTAGGTTACTGCATTTGGATGTTTTGGAAATTGAAATGAGGACGCCAAAAAGCAAATACAGTAACTTACCAATTGTCACCGCCCATAACCCCCTACCAGCAGAAGTAAAAAGACAACTTATCAAGAGTATAATATTCCTTCCAACACTGACTTACCAATGCCAAATGTGGCAGTGGCAGCTAAACACAGCACAAGAAAGGAATATCATTGCTTGTGAGATGAAATGCCTTGGAGAATTAATTAATGCCACAAGGAAACACTGCAGACGGAAGGAAACTGAAATTGAACAGAAATGAAACCAGTTTTGGGACTTAAAGAACATCAAAGAATCAAGTAGTTCGGTCATCTGAGAGTGCCCCTAAACCAACCATCTGCATGAGCATACATCTCAAGAGAGTCAGGGCACAAGGGTAGAGGCAGGCCTAGCAAAACTTGGCTGGATGGCGTCAAAGAGGTCCTCAAAAAGAATAATATATCAACAACAGGAAGCCACCCTCCTAGTCCTTGACCAAAAACTGCACCTCCCCTTGACTTGTAACAATAGAGGAAGTATAAAGTAAAGTAAAAGTAAAAAGTATGTGTTTCTATTTTAAACACATTGGTTATCTACTTCTTGTCTTCCCTGGACAGGATGGTCGTGTGTTCACGTTTGGGGCAGGGAGTTACGGCCAGCTGGGACACAATAGCAACAGCAACGAGATTTTACCACGCCAAGTTATTGAGCTGTCTGGAGTGGAGGTCTCTCAGATTGCTTGTGGGAGGTAATGATTTGAAATAGTACATTGAATGACAGGCTGGCTAAGGGAGCTGTTGGGAAGTTGTGTTACCTTTTGTAGAAAGATATTTTACAATAAATAGACATTTCAGCAGTAAGTTTTACAGGTTTTTTTCTAGTTCAAACTCTGAATAAAATAAACCTTCTGTTTACTCCCCTATTGAGCTTAGAGAAGAAAACAAATTTATGAGCTTTGTACATAAATGGATTTCCTGTTTATTGTGGGGCTTTGAGATTGAGAATGATTTTGGTCCTTTTAAATAAAGTAAAATATGACACTCACTTCATTTGTTATGTTCGCTAAGAGGAATTGATTTGTAATACACAAAAGCACAATAAATCCAGTGATTTAACTTCACAGATATATGTAATTATTGTTTCAGGGGCCACACTCTTGCATTTGTGCCAAGCACAGGTCGTCTGTATGCATTTGGACTAGGGGGGAGTGGGCAGCTTGGGACCTCCTCATTGGAGAACAAAAACAGCCCTTTTTTGGTGCAGGGTCCTTTTGTCAGCCAGAGTGGCGCAGGCACCAGCAACATGCAAGTGGACAACCAAGGACCAGAACTCTGTGTCAAGAGTATCTACACAGGGGGAGATCACTCTTTTGTTCTCGCTCAAGATTGTTCAGTAAGTTGGGATGCTGTTCTTAATAAATACAGTTCAGTCTTGATGTTGATTGAAGTTGGATCTGGAATTTCCACGGATAAAAGTTGTATTGCGTATTATTGTGATACATCCTTGAATGAATGCATACAAATTTTCTCTGAATGGAGTGTTCTATCGTATTCAAGAGCACTTCCATGATTGATGAGTGGGGGGCAGGGGGGCATCTATGATTCTTCATTCGCTGATCATTACCTTTTATGTATTTTTTATTTTTTGAATTAAGTTTATAGCTTGTTCACTTTCGTCTTACTGTCGCTCAGTTTAATATTCTCAGATCTTTCCATATGGGTCTAAAAGTTCGATGACCAACTGAAATCTATAAGCCCATTTACAAAGGTCATTGCAAACTAAGGTTCCGACTCATTTTCTTTAATGTAAGTCAAAAGTATGTCAAAAAAATAATTGGGGATTTACAACATACACCTAAAACATTTAGAAATTGACATATTTTCTTCAACACCACACTTTAAGATGCATCTAAGAAACTTATTTCAATAGATGTGGTGAGTAATTTTTGAGATTCTGGTGGGAGATAAATCTACAAGCTTACACTGAAATGTGGGGGCAGGGTGGTGTCGCTGTCTCAAAACGAGCAATTTGTAGATAAGGTTACTGTCAATAATTTATTTTAGTGATCATGTGTATGCATCCAGAGAGCAGGTTTTGATATATGACCTAAAAAGAAAAACTTTTTTGGTACTGGATCAAGATTTAAGAAAATGAATTTTTGTTTGGTTGTTGGCCTTCAGAAGTGCCATGCAAAGTTTCGTGGACATAGGTAAATTAATAAATGAGCTAGAATTCTTTTAACATGGTCAGACAAAAGTGAAAAGCTGTAATATGAAATTTTGTACTGGGCAAAGGGCTGGGGAATTTGGAAAAGAAAAGCTGGCTGGATGATTTAGCTAGACTGTGAGGTCTTTGTTTACCTTGGTACGTGTCACTTTACATTGTTTGAAAATTCCTGTTCTGTTTCATTTTTGTGGACTTGAATCTTAAGGTAGCAACAAAAGTAGCCTTTAAATAAGTTTGTTCAACTGGTGTTTGGTGCCAAAGTTAAAACGTAAGTTCCTCAGTGAATATGGATGTTTCTCAGCTGGCATGAGTTTGTGGTTGTTAGTAGTGCCAGTATGGTAGCAATGCTGAAAAAAAAACATGTCTCGTTTTGTTACAATGACTTATGAATTCAGTTCAAAGGTGTTCTTGAAGTAGGGGTAGGCAGTCTCAGCAAAATTTGTAGTTGTGATATATATCGTTGACCAGAGAGGTAATACTTTTACAGTAATCATACTAAAACCTTCATGTGATTCTTGTATTTGCAGGCTTGCCATTCTGATGATTTTCGGGAAAGAGATCATGTCAGGCAAATCCTTACACTTTCCCAGAAAAGAATTGAAATGTTTCATGACCTCAAATCAAATGATACCCCTCCGCATGAGCTTTCAGAGTGAGTATGTTTACCTTAATCTTTTTAATCGAATCATTGCCCAAGACCAAGCTGTGCTGTGAACTGTCGTGAACACAACCAATTTGTGTTTCACATGCTCATATGACCTTATGCAGTTGCGAGTGCTGTAAAACTCTTCCTAAAAAACTAAAACGATATTGCCAGTCAAGCTTCTGATAGTTTTGAACAAGTTTTCCTTCTGTTGGCCAGGTCTTTGTGTGCTTGCTACAGGTGTCTGAGGAATTGTTTTGATAAGTAGCCCAGACTTTAATTTTAATTATTTCTCACTTTATAGTAAGCCTTTGTAACTGCCGAAACATTATTAGATCTAATTTTTAATCTTTCCGTTCCTAGTATTATTTCCTGGATGTTCCTAGTATTTGTAAAGATTCTAAGAGCATTACAGACTGCAGAATGTATTTGTGATTATGGCTGATACATTTTAGTTCTGATAGCAATGGGTTTTGCATGTCAACACTGTCTTGTGTTTTTCAGAATAGCACATGTATTTGCTGTTCTTAATACATTGTCTTTTTGTGCATGCTTCCTTTTTTTATTTTTGCGTCTAGACTGGTGAAAAGTAAGTTTTTGTCCTTGTTTATTTGTGTAGTAATACCTAGTTGAGTTGACCATCTTTGTTTAGATGAATGGTGGTTACCACAGGCTGGTCTTCACTATTAGTAGGTTAATTTGTTAGTACAAGGCTATAGATAATATAACATCTAAGTTGCAAAATCTGGTTAAGGCACACTCTGAATTTCTTCAAATGAAATATTGATAAAGTTTGTCTCATGATGTTTTATATGTGAATTATTATGTTGCCGCTGCTTCTTTATTTATATCTTGTTTTGTTTACTTTCAGTGAGATGACAAAAATCTTTTCTCATGCATCATGCTTGAATGGCTCATTTCTCATGCCGTAAGTACTGAATTGTATATGAGATCAAGATAGTTTATAGAGTGAAAAATGTTTACAAAAAATTTGAAATAAGTTAGACATTTCCTCGTAATTTGTAGAATATATTATGGGAGAATATGGATTGTTTTAATTTTTCCTGTTTTAGAAAGGTACTTTAACATTGTAGAGAAGATCTCCTACCTTAGGTTGGAATGGGAGGATTTTTGCTTCTTTTCTATTTCCCTATCAGAAACATTTTGTTTATTTTACTTTTTCTTTTACATTTGAGGTTTATACCTAGCTTTGTTGAATCACACTTTTTCATTTTGGCTGTAATAAGCACCGGAAGTTTTGTTGAGTCCTGGTTTTTTGTTGTTTTTTTGTCAATCAATTTATAGATTATTGTTATACTGAGTCTAAAGCAAAAGGCAAAAGCTCGTAGTATGCTGGGTTGATTGTTGCGACAAAAGCAACAAAAAATAATGCAAGGCTTCGGAAGATTCAATTTTGGTAGTTTTCAAGTTGGTCCAATTTTTGCCTTGACCTGTTTGCTTATAGGTTTTATATGATTTAGCTTATTTGCGACATCAGTAAAGTTGAGTAGTATCACCACATTTATGATTGTCTTCCACAGACGTGATGAGCACTATGGCAGCAGTAGTAAAAAGCACGGTGTGGATATGAATGCAGTACGGGAATTTTTTCAGGGTCTCTCGAAGCTTCCGAACATTGTCATCAAACAATATGTGAGTTCTTATAAGATGTTAATGTTTGAAGGTTCTGCTGGTTGGTTCTTCTTCTTTTTTGTCCTTCTTTTGTTTTTTTTCTGGACTATTATGAGTCTGAAAGAAAACATCTTTGAAGGAACATTTTTAAAAACTTGTGTACACTCTGACGCTCAGGTATGGGTGCGTTGCCTGGGTTATTTACCTGATACTTACTCCTCTAATTTTGATGGTCACTTTCTGTTGAAAATACTTTTTGTGAGGCCATTTTTACTGTGCACAACAGGCTTTTTTGGAGTAAAATTAATGTTTAAGTATCTAAAAGTAAAACCCTGCCATTCTCTGGGAGACTTGGGTGGCGGCTGGAACAAATGTGAAGTTGTGTGAGCCTTTTGTTGGGAGGGATTCAGATAAGCTCTTTATCAATATATTATGTTCATAGTACGTGATTTGGACCAACATATTGAATGGAAATATGCAGTCATGACTAAGTGAGGGTTATTTTAGTTTCCAACAATAGAAAAAGGCAGTCGAATTTGTCAAAAAAAACCTTAGTAGTTATGTTTGGATAATCTAGTCAATTTGTTAGTGTTCAAACACTAAATCGACTGCATGCACTGTATTGTTTCTGGGGAAACTGAGAATCTTTCTCAGTGTTCTGTGATCTACTGAGGTGATAGAACTTGCTGTTGAATAGTTTAATGCACTACACAGATGCTATTTATTATTATAGTGTTATTGCTTTCCACAGATTTGCACTAGCATTGAGCAGGATCTGATTCCCATGCTGCCAAAGAGTCCACCAGATGTTGAGGCCCTTCGTTTGTACATAATGCTGCCTGAGTGCCACCTTTTTGACCAGCCCAAGCTGTACAGTTCTATCATCTGTCCATTCGCCAATGCCTTTCTGTCCATGGATCCAGTCGCTCAAAAAGTCTTGTGTAAGGTTTATAATTGGCAGTTTGGCTAGCCTTCATGACATTTTTTTGCTTATAAGAAATGGTCAGTATTCTGCTTTTCCTTCTACCATTTCCTTTAGAATTCTGATGATGGGTTCTCTAGAAACACTGAAATTATAATTGTTACCTCAGGATAGTGTGATTACTGTATGATACTGTCTGTTATGTTTTACCCGAAGTCACAAGGTGCTGGAGTCAGTTTAAAAATGAAGCAGAAAGCATTGAGTATTATTAGAAGAGTAGTGGCTGCATTAAGTATTCAGCTGCAGCTGATGACCTTACTTTCATTTTGTGAGGAACCCATTGAATGGATTTTACTGTACATTAGTGTTGTATTTGTTTAAGTATAATATTTTTTAAAGGGTGAGTATCTTTACCAAAGTGGTGTGCTCCTTTCCTGGAATCATTTACTTTCTTATCATTTTGTTGGAACATTTTGTTGGAAATAACAATTAATTTGTTTCATTTATATTTCAGTTCGTGAAGTTTGGTCAATGGCATTCATGTGCTCTGTGTTTTCTTCTTACAGATTCATGGTGGCCGTCAAACCAGCCGTCTTTCTTTAACAGACTTGTAGTTGTAAGTATACATTTTATCATGCAATCTGTGAAAGTGCTGAGAAACCTTGACATTTTAAGAGCATCAGTGGGTAGAAGGTGGGTGTTTTTGTATGGTCTGGTAATCCTGCTTTAAAAAAAAAGTGATATTGGTATACTATCCTGGTTGGAGGAAAAATGTGGCATGTGTCTATTTGACTTGCCTTAAATTATTGTCTTGTTGACTTGCCTTGAATTCTTGGCCTTTTAAAGAAACAGTTTAAATAATGATATAATTGTTGTAACATATGTTCATTGTGTTGTATTGCATTAGTGGTTTTCCACTGGCTTTTTAAAACCAAAAAGTGTTATGTAATGGTTGGTATGAACTATTTGGTAAACACTACTTTTCAAACTTGAATGGAGGTTAACTTTAGTGGCAGTGACACTTTACAGTTTGTTTTGTGCATTTTTTTTTTAATTTCAAAAGGATTTGTGTTAATTATGTGAATAAAGGTGGTTGCTTATGGTTAGAGGTGCATGAGTGAGAGATCTTTTTTTTTTTGGTTCTTTTTTGTTATATTCTTAACACCAGTGCATTATAATCTGTTTTGTCTTTATGTTACTTTTTCGTTCACAGATTTATAAAGGTTGTATAGAATATTTGCTTCAGTTGCCAGATACAACTAATCCATTAGAGGTGAGTGCTGCTTTTGAAGTTGATGATGGGGATTTAAGTGCTCTTTAGTATTTACTGAAAAATACTTACACTTTGTGTTAACATTTGAGTGAATAGAAGAGGCAAACATTTGTTGGGACCCATATTTTTCTGGCCATAATATTGTTATCGAAACATGTACTTGTTTTGGTCTAGAATAAGGGTTAGTAGAAGACTGGCATGTGTAATTTAGGAATTTTTCATTGCAATTTATAATGGTATAAAAACCAGTCATTTATTTACTTTTACAGAAACATCTCTGTGCAACTCATGCTCTTCAGGCTAAAAAGTATGTCTGCTGTAACTGTCTATTTATGCTTTGGTATTTTTTTGACATTATCTTCAAGGGAACTGTTATGGACTGAGTAAATTATGTTGAGTCAAGTGTGCACTGTGTTCTGAGTACTATGAGGGATGTCCCAGAATTAACAAGAAAATAGCTATAAATTGAAAAGTTTTGTCATCAGTGAGATGCAACTGACACAGTTATATGAGTTAGTTGGCTAAACATTCTCATCTCTGTATTTCTCAATGTAGTCTCCATGAACAGTCAAGTATTTTGCCATCCCTGCATGAGTAAATGTATACCATCCCTGTAGAATTTTGCTTTGTGTGACCAAAGCCAATTTCTGATGTACTACAGTAGTCTCCGCCTAAGATCCCACCGCTTACGATCCCGGTTCGCTTAAGATCCCGCCGTTTTAAGAAAACAGAATTTATAGTATACAAAAGTCACCCCTATGATCCTGCTCTGATTCACTCTGAAGGTCTTTTTTTTCAGCTAAGATCCCGCATTTCAGATCATAATTTGCGCAACAAAAACTCGGGCGGGACAATTGATCAACCAAGAGTGAAAAGTTGAGATCAATAAACTGTCCGTCGCGTTGTAGATCAGCCACTATCGTGAATGTGATCACATACACGTTGTAAAACTCGATAAAGCGATACAATGTTTGCCCCAGACGGGATCACACCGGGGTGTGAACTGACCGACACGTTTGTTTTCCCTGAACATCGCACTCACACCTGAGCTCTCCCCCTAAACTTACATCACTCGCTGGGTGGGTAGGGCCAACATGTTCGCTCCAGGCGGGATCACATAGAACTGTGAATTCTTCCCTGACCATTGCAGAAGTTGTCTTTACTCCCGAATTTTAATTGGTGTGTTCACAACGTAGTGGTGTGTAAAGACGATGGAAAGCTATAAATTTTCGACAGGTAAAGGGGAGGGGCAACTGGATAAGCGTAGATTTTGAGACTCATGATAGGATTTTAAGTGAAAATAGCATGCCTCATCCCACTATGCACTGTGAATAAACCCACCAAGCGGTCACGTCAGTTCATTTTAGAGTGGAGGGAGACCATTTTACCGATTGTGAGCCTTAGCATGGGTCACCATAGATTCTTCCATGGATTCGTCGGTTAAGATCCTGGTTCGCCTAAGATCCCGCATTTCCTTGCTCCCGAACACCGGGATCTTAGGCGGAGACTACTGTACTAGGTTTGTGTCATCAGTGAGTTTCTTCTCAGATAGACATTGTTGAGCTGGTCCAAACAAATGGAAGTCTGAAGGGACAAGATCAGGACTGTGATCCAAAACTTCATTAAGCTCTTGGAAGTCACCAGCCAGCCCAGGCCCCGTGTTGTCATGTGCTTTTTGCCAGCATCGTTCCAACAATGCTCCTGAAGACATTGATGTGCTGTGCCTTTTGGTCATCTGCCAAGTGTTTTGGAACCCACTGAGTTGACAATTATCTGTATCCCAGCTCATTAGAAAGTTTTAGGGCATCAGCAATTCTGAACCTCCTATCATCACAAATGAGTTTTTCAATGCATTCAGCATTTTTGCTCTGTTAGCAGACAGATGACAGCCTCTTACTTGCTCTTCCTGTAAATTTGTATTCCCCTCTTTTAAATAAATGGTGCCCTTGGTAGACTTTTTATGTTCTTAGAAAATTTTCGCTGAAAGTATTTTTTATTTCTGCCTGAATTTCAGTGGGTTTTTTCCCAATTGTGTGAAGAAACCAAATTACAGTATACTGACTGTCATTTTTGTTGTGGTGTAGTAAAAGGATTGCATTCATTTTGTTCATTTTAGTGCTGCTCCCAGATGAGAATTTCTTTGAACTAGGCTACTAAAAACTCGTGATAGAGTGTTAAAAAAGTATTAGTTATTGCCTGTTCTGTGGGCTTACCTTAATTCACTCCCGTGTGCGCTGTGGGTGTACCTGGTGCGCCTGAAAAAAACACTGTTTCACGCAATCTTCGCTTCTACACAGTTTTGAATCACAAGAGTTACATCCATCCCTGTATTCTCTGTCCACTTGCTGATGCGATCCTGCCTATTTTTAGGCTAATAGTCCTGGGATTCGAATTTAGGCCCTAGTAACTAAAACAAAGAGACATGGTGTGTAGTGTGTTTTATGCAAATGACGAAGTCAGTCTGAGGTTTTGCGTGCAGTCTACATTCGCCACGATGGCTTCGCAAAGGCTGACTAGGTCTACGGATCAGGTTATTGCAGATATTTAGCGAGATGCAGACAGTGATCACAAAGATTTCAATTCATCTGAATGAAGAAAGTTTGTGTCATAAATCTAATTTCCAAGATGACAGGGATCTCGAATACAGAGATGGAATTTTAAAAAATCTCACTTTCACCTGTCAAATTCTTCTAAAGAATACTTATACCTAAAAATGAGTAACACCAAAGGATTGTATGTTCATTTCTCTTTTATTTGATGTATTTGCTATATCTAGTCCTTATAGTAAGCGAGCTATTGCCATTCAAAAAGCAGACAGTGTCATACACTGCCGCTGTGGAAATTTCCATAGCACACGCGGTGGACTTATGGTTAGCAGTCAAGGGGTTAAATATGACCATTTTCCTGTTAATTCTGGGACGGCCTTTGTCTATGAAGGATTTACGGTGCACATCAGATTTATTTGGTAAGTGCATAGATATACATAAACTCTAGCTGTAATAGCAGAATTCTCAATCCTCACAGGTTAGCAGGAGGCAAAGTGGGCTGTTTTCATGCATGGAAATGTTGCAGAAGCTGTATGCAGTAAGTTGTTGTGTTGTAAATACTTGTTTGTATGTTTTTGTCTTCTGAAAGTTTATTGTTTTTGTTTTCTGTTCTATTTATTTCATCTTATGAACAGTTTTTTTTAGAGAGCTGTAATGAATTTATATTATCCATATATTCTATAATAGGCATATATAGCTTAAATTATGTTTTGACGTAATAATTTTCTTTGATGTTAACTTAAAGCAGGTCCAAAAAAATAATAATAGCATACACCTAAAACATTAAGTTTACCCTTTTTTATCACACATGCGTATGAAACAGTCCAACAGATGGGTGATTATTTTCAAGACTCATGTGGAAATGTTGAGACAGTCTTGGGGAAAAAAAATCTACAAGCTTACACTGAAATGTGTGGGGCAGAGTAGTGTTGCTGTCTCTAAAACTAGCAATTTTTTTGCCAGGTTATTGTAAATTATGTAATTTAGTGATCCAGTGTATGCACCTAAAGGGCGGTTTTTAATATAGGGCTCAAATAAAGAAACTTTTTTATTACTAGATCGAGATTTTAAAAAAATTTGTTTTTGTTTAGTCACTGGCCTACCTGACACCATGCACAGTTTTATGTGCGTTGGCAAATTATTAAATGAGTTAGAATTTTTTTCAACGAGGACAGACAGAAATGAACCATCTATAAGTCCTACTTCTTTGCTATCTTTTTGTTGCTTTGTCAGCCATATTTTGCTTTTTCCCAACATTAAATGACATTTAAAATTTTTATGGGCTCCTTTTACACTCTATTCAAATTGCATGAAATATTATCAATCTGATTTGTCCCTCTCTGTTCAGGTCAATGAAGAAAATCACCAGATCATCCCGTACCACAAGTTCTATGTGCCCGAGTTGAAAGAGCGAGTGAACATCAGAGAGGACTACATCAGCTGGGTGCAGCACACGCACCGTCGCACTCAGGTGGGGGGTTTTGCTGTCCAGGTGTGTGCGACTAAATCACAAGGAGGCTTTGATTGAGCTCGCAATGTTTGGTTTGCACTTTTTTTGTCGTTTGTTTTCGGCACGCTATTTTTACACTTGGCATATTTGTTCATTACTAACTCTAAATACACTGCACTATCCGAGGCCATGAACTCTTCCCTTTTCCCCCCATTTTTGTTCTAGAGGAAGATGGATCCATTCATCTTGAATTAACACAATCTTTGGAACTTTTTTTTTTCAAAGAGTTGTTATTTTTAAAGTAAAACTTATTGCACATTACTCTTTTCCACAATGACATAAGTGTCAGCTTATTCACATTTAAGTGTGTAGAATTTGATTTTTTAAAGTATATTTGTTCAAAGTTGCTTCTGCTTTAAAGGTATGTTCTCTCTCTCCAAATGTTCCCAAGCAGTGGGCAGTTGTGGCCTCATCAACATTCTTATAGTTTTCCTTTCTCTGAAGGTCATAATTTCCTAGTGAAATGTTCCCCTCCAGTATCTCTGAGTTGAGGCATTCTTGTTCAGAAGAAATTCCTAGATGTTGGATGTACAGTGCAGTAATAAAAATGCTTTGTTGCAGTCACATAATATTTAATAAGTGTAGGCTCTGATGTTTCTGCAGCTTACAAATTCAAGATGTATTTTCTTTATAGTGATTTGGCTCACGTCAAGGTTTTAGGAATTGTAACATTTTCTTTTTTGCAATTATGCCTATAGCTCATTAATTTATAATAAGTAGATAGGAAAGTCAATTTCTCCAACTATTTTGGATTAAAAGAATCGATAGATTTTCCTCCTTCCTGTTTCATCGCTTGTTCGCTTTACTCTTTCATTGTCAAAAAGTTTGTGCAAGGCCAGTATGTTTCATATTGAATATGAGGTAGGGGGAGGCCAGTGTCTGAACTTATTTCTTCCCAGAAATCAACACTGACTCTTGTGTTCCAACAAAAATGTGTAAATGAGAGTTAATGTAAATAGTTCCCGTAAAAAAAAAAAGAACGAAATAAAGGATAGATTACCCTATAGTCAATAGACCATGGTTTGACACAAAACATGACTCTGTATGTCAATGATTTATAGGTGATTGGCACTGAGAGAATTAAGAATAGATGTATTCCTCTTGCTGTCTGGAGTTTTCTGGATTTAGCTTTACATAATTTCTTGAGTGTCATAGTTTTCTTTTCTTGCAGATTGCAATGAGTGTTTTCTACCTTTGTTGTAGTTAAGCTTGGTTGACACTTTTTCTCTATTTGGGCATGCAGGATTTGGTCTGGTAGGAAAGTCAGGCTTGTCAGTGTGTGTGCTAAGATCTGCCCAGCAGAAGCTGGCATGGTTAACAGTGAGCTGACTAATGAAATGTCCCATGAGCTGTGAAGCTCTCCCTGATTAGTGATTGTGTATCTGTCAGAAGTGGCCTTGGTCAAAGTGCAATGTAGAATCCATTCATCTTCTATTTGTGAAAAGAACAACAATTCCAAGGCTAGAGGAGCCCTATTGATGTTGTGTGCGTCAACACTGAGGGGAAAATAAATTGTTCTCAATTTTTCAAACACAATTTTGTTGTGTTAGAATAAGAACCACCCCCTCCCCCTCAAATCCTTGTTTTTGATTGGTCATTGAAAGACAGATAATTGATTTGGGGCAATTGAACCAGGTTCATAACGGATGAACTATTATTATTACTATGCCTCTGTTGACTACTGTTTGTCTCGCTTATTCCCAGCACTAAATGACCAATACTCAGTTGATATTTTTCAGTGTAATTCAAACTCGATAAACTGTCTTGAAGCAATTTGATGGTCTGCTTAGTCTGATTTCTCATTTCCAGTACCTTTCATTTTCAGAAGTCATAGCCTAGCTGCTGATTGGACCTATTATATTTGAGTAAATTTGTTTTGAAAATATTTTTTGCATGTTCTATCAACAGTTTTATTTTTGATTAGAGATATTGTTTTGCTTTAATATTTATTGCTTATTTATTTCTGCTCTCTGAATTTTGGCATAATTTTTTTTTTTTTTAAACCACATTATTGTTTCTAATTTAATGTTATTCTATTTCGTATGTTACACTTTTTTATGCTTTATGCTTCAATGTTTCAGGGTCTCTACTTCTGCAACTACCCCTTCCTGTTTGATGGAGCGGCCAAAAGTGTCCTGCTTCAGACAGATGCCGCTCTGCAAATGAGGGTGAGTTGTCTGTCCTTAATCAGTAAATGATTGAATGTGACTTGTTTTTGCTTTTGCATACATATTCAGGTGGTGAGATTGCGGATTCGAGGGTTCAAGTCTGAGCTCGGTCCGGCGTTGTGTCCTTGGGAAAGGCACTTTACATGAACTTCCCACTTGGCTCGGTCCTTTCGGAGACGGACGCTGAACGTGGAGGTCCTGCCTCTTAAATTAAATAATAATAGTATTGATAGGGGCATTAAAACCATACCATTTCACCGTTTTTGCATACATATTCTCTGAGTGTGTTAGGCCCTACTTTTATTCTATCCCACTATCCGTTGATCTTATTTCGTTTTTTTGCCAGCACTGAGTGACTCTTCTTGCCAGTTTGCTTATCTGTGAGCCCAGATAGCTACCAGTTTGAAACTGTTGGAGGCTGTTGTTTAAAAAAAAAGTTTTTGCTTAGTAAATATGTTGTTTTGTATGCTTTGGATGTATTTGCACTATGTTGTGGATGAAGTCGTGGTGGCCATTTTTCTAGTATTTCACACACAGTTCACTCTTTTTTTTAGTGCTGACCATTGTCTTATGGTAGGACTATAGGCCATTGTAACAGGGACTTTGTCAATGAGAACTGGCTTAGAAAAAAGCGCATAGACGATAAGGGGCCTATCAGACAAGGCAACTGGCCATTACAATTGAGTCGAGAGCTGACTCTTGGCACCAACCAATGTGAGTGTTTGCTCTTGGTGGGCAGCCAGGCACAAAAGAATGTGTACGACTGTTCATTCTGTTGTGGTCGTTCAAGATTTTATTTCAAATGTTTTACGCCTTTGTTGACACGATTTAGATAATTTAGATGGCAGAATGCTTTGATCCTGCCTGTCAAGGCCAACAAAGTCAGACTGGGATGCAACATCCCAGCATATAGATGGAGATGCTTGATGAAATAAACTTCCCCATGCGAGAATCAAATTGACATCTCGTTGCAATGGTGAAGAGCTTAACTGTTGTTACACCACAGACTCCAGTCAATCTGCGTCAACGTGAGTCACAAAATGCTCTCTACCCTCTACTGCAGCATGTTTTTCTATGAAAGTAGAAAACAGCAGACAAATAATATGTATGGTAGTTACCACAATGGTCTATACACCTTTGTAAGTACAATTTCCTAAAGGATACAACAAGAATGGTGTTTACTTTCTTTCTGTCCTTAACTCAAACTGCCACCCTCAGAACGCCATTGAGAGTGTTCAGCGACAGAACTTTCGGGGCGCCCAGCACCTGCTCCAGATGTTCACAGGCATGAGCATGCCTCCACCTCAGTTTGACCCAGTGAACCCGTGCCTGGTTCTGTTTGTGGATCGGAACAACCTGGTCCAAGACACCCTGCTACAGCTGCAGAGTAAGCTCAGTGCCGACCTCAAGAAACCCCTCAAGGTGAGTTGTCATTTTGTAATTTATATATATATTGCTGATGGACTCATTTTCATGAATACGGAACAAACCCAATTCTTATCTCAAGAAACTTCTCAATATTGATTCTGTTTTGTACTTGTATTTGTGTCTTGTTGTCTGCTGTGTTCAAAATAAGAAATACATGACTATGTTCCTCTTTAAGTTGACATTTTTTTTCTTGCCTAGGCTCTTGTACAGCACAACTTTCCCCCAGGTTTGGTCTATTTTGTCGTCTGTTTAGCTCTCTTTAATGCAAGTCTGTTGAACAAAAACCACTTTTTGTCAAAAATGAACCTCGTAACCCCACAGCATTTTGACTTTTCTAATTTTACAGTCCCTTCTCTGCTGTTTAGGTTGTGTTGATTTTAGTCCTTTAGCTAAATGGAAAGGCTTTTAAATCTTTGTTTTTCTCTTTTATTCTATTCTCAGGTGGTGTTTAAAGGAGAGGAAGCTGTGGATGAAGGTGGAGTGCGAAAGGTAAGTCCTAATCTGTCCTCAGAGGAATTCGCATTAGCAACCTGCAACTTACGCACGCAACTTTTGCCAATTTTCGTGAGTTCGTGAACTTTAGCCAATTTTCTGCAAAAGTTGGGAAAATAATAGTAAAATTATGTTAATAATCGAAATAAAAATAATGACGCCAAGAAGGACAATTCATACCAGAAATACCACTTTTTTGTTTCCTAAGGGTACCTGCCCGGACCACGAACATTTTGCATTGGAAAAAGTTTCGTCAGAATCTGTCTGTTTCTGTGCGTAATTGTAAACCCACAGGGTCCGTAAAAAATCTGTCACAGTAAGCCAATACGATGGCGCTTAATAGCAAGCAAAAAATATTTTTGTGATGTAGTACAAGAGAAAACTATATCTAAAGCTCTGCGGATTTTGGATTTATCTTATTTTTGAGCAATGGGAATGATTAGGCGAAGAATATTTGGGATGCACTTTGTCAAACAAAACAGGTCGTTCTTTAACTAAGGAAATCAACCTCTCGTCATCCATTGTGGCTTGTTTTGAGAACACGGAAGCACGTGTGTGCCAGTTCTGAGAAAACGAAATTGCATATGTTCATCTAGTTTGTGCTTGTTCAAGGGGAAGAGTGTGGTCTGCTTATCAATGGACAATGTTAAAAAATAGCGCATGCGATATGGATTTTTTTGCTCCACTTTCCGTTACTGTCCTTGCGTGGTGTGTGGGTGCAGAGACGGCTGCTATACAACGTTTGATAGGAGGAATCTGTTGCATTATTTTTTTGTAGTCCTGTTTACACGTTTAAGAAGGGGATTGTTGAGAGAGAGAGAGAGAGGCATTCACTTGGACTGAATCATCATCTTCTAGCTAGATCTTGATCTGCAGTAATTCGTAACACAATAGTTTGATTACTTACCTGCCATTTGGTTCTTTAGGACCAGGTAGGTAGATCTAGTATTTGTGAAAGACTTTAAATCTAGGCTAGGAGGGTAGATGTAGACATGGATTGATTCATCAAGAAAACCCCTAAGCACACCATGCTGGTCTCACCTGCCCAACGTCAGCGAGAGTTTAAGAACCTGACACATGTGTCATGGGACACAGTCCAGTTTTTTTTGCAGACATTCACATTTACTTTTGATTTTGATCGAACAAAACTTATATTGATTACTTTGATTGCAATGAGCGTACCAACAATGTATTCCATGACATTTGTTTAGTTTTCACGTCTTACAACTTTTCTTGCAACTTTGGCTAATTTTTCTTGCAACTTTTTTTCTACTTTTGCTATTTCCAAACGTAACTTTCTCTGGGGACAGCCTTATGTGTGAGTTCAGGGGTTTTGCTACTATTCAGAAATGCTGCCTTTTTAAGTAGTGATCAGTTTGTAAACATGTAGTGCTATAGCATCGAAATTTCAAAGCAGTAGTGTGTTAGACAGACGGCTGAAATAACTGCTGATTGGAGCTTTTAGCTCATGAGTTGTGGCTTTAGAATGAGAATTTCAGGGCAACAGTGTTGTATATGTTAAACTCAGTACAATTATAGGAAAAATCTGATGAAAACATTGTCTACACTAATCCGTTACATTTGTTTGACATGAATGCTTTAATCAAGATGAAGGGCTTTGAGATAAGAACAAAAGCGAACTCTTCTTATTTTGTTTTATTGACAGGTATCATTGTTGTTTACAAGAAGATAGGAAGACCTCAGTTGATTCCTTTTCTTCTAGTGGTAAAAAATGTCACTGACATTTGTTTTGTATCTCTAAAGATTGATGTCTCATTAACTCTAGGAGCGTCCGGTGGTAATAACCTTGTTCCCCATCGGACGCTGGGAGCGTCCAGTACTAGTGATAACTGTTTCGTTTTATTTAGTGCTAGTTTTTGCTTGTTTTTTGGAACTATTCCGACACTAAGTTTTTTAGTAATCACTAAGCCTTTGTTTCCGCCTTTTAGAAGTTGGAGGCAAGCTTTTTGGATTATAATGAGACATAGTGCACCAGGTTGAAGTGACTGTAGAAAAAACTCCGGGAACTGGTGGAAAAAAACTCAGGATTCAAAGAGTTAAGTCTTTTTCAAGATACATTTGGCTTATTTTGTGTTTTGGTGGTCTTCTTTAAGGAATTCTTCATGCTCCTCCTTCGAGAAGTGATGGATCCAAAGTACGGCATGTTCAATGTGGATGAGGATTCCTATTTACAATGGTTCAATCCATCTGTGAGTATTGCAAAGTACATGTGGATATCAAAATAAAAATGAGTCCATCATTATATAAATCTGTATATCATGTAGTAAAAAGTTAAAATTTGGTTAAAGAGCACAGTACATGACACACTTTCTGTTTTGAAAAAAGACTCAAAACTTTTTAACGAGAAGGCTTTGTAAAGGAATTTTGCTTTTCTTTTTGTATGATGTTTCAATTCTTTCCTTGCAAAAATGAATTCTCATAGGAGGTTTTATTGTTGGTAAGGATCAGAATAGTAGTTCGAAGATCAAATTCATTCTTCGTAAGAACACTGAAGTAGAATTGGAACATATTATTGTACTTTTTATTTTAGTCATATCATGACATTCTACTGTGTATTAGCGTTGGTGTCACTTTTGTTGGTAACTGGAGGGGACTTGGGACTATGTCACTTGCTATAAGTTTTTTCTTTTTCTCTTTCAGTGACTGTATGATTCGTTAAAAAAAATTTAATTTCTGAGCATTATATTATTCTTGACTTGTTGTTTGTCATTTCAATTAGTTATGTTTTTACTTATTTTTGAGATTGTTTCTGACCATGACAAAAGTCATAGCTGGTTACTTATTTATTTATTTTTTTGGCCTGTTATATCATAGCTGATATAGTTTGAATAAATTATGTGAAGCACATTTTACAGAGCATTATTTGATTCATAGCTCATTGACTGCGCTTTGAAATTTGAACAAATAAGGTTAAAGCATTTACTGTGTTCATTATATTGTCCAAGCATGTGTGTCTAGTCAGGTTTTCAACTCATATAAAATATTAAAAGAGCCCAAAATTTATAACATTTCTAAGTTCATGTTTTCAGGCCTCTGAAAAAGTTCCCCTGACTCTTCTCCTTTTCAGACGTTTGAAGAGGCCAACATGTTCCGTATGATTGGCATTCTGTGTGGCCTGGCCATCTACAACTTCACCATCATTGATTTGCACTTTCCGCTGGCGCTCTACAAGAAATTACTAAAAAAGTCAGCACATTTCTCCCTAACACATGTTTAAACCCTCCCCCACCTCCTCTGTTTTCTGTTTCTATGCGGTTCAATTTATATACCTTTTGTGATTTTTTTGATACAGTTGAACTTGCTTTAGCGGTCACTTTTCCATAGCAGTTACCTTTTACTAACGGCCACGGTTCCATGGCACCCTTGTGTTTTTCCTATACCGGTCCATAGTGATTCCTGTCCAATGTAGCCATGGTAAGCCATTTTTGCGACAAGTTAACCTCAAAACCTGCTCCTAGCAGTCACTTGCTACAAAAATTTCTGCCTACCCGTCCTGAGACAGAGTGTGTATGTTCAGTCAATGCAGAGATTCAGCTGAGCTGATCGTCTGGCTAGGCACTACCTTTTAAACGTGGGGATGTGGGGCTTAGTGCAGCAGTTGCCCCAATGACATGCGAGTGTCCAGTGAAATGAGAACACTGCCATAGCATACACTTTATACGACAACCAGTAAATTACACACTTTTGCCGTCGTCAGCAAACATCGAACAGTCATATGACAGGTGTGTTGTCTGTTTTACAGTAGTGACCATTGGTTGTCTGGGTTAGGGGTTTTTTTTTGGGGTGTGTTTTTAAAATATTTTTGTTTCTTTTCCCTTGTGTTGTTTTATTTAGTGATGACAACTATTCCAGGTTGGCAGCTGTTTTTAAAAAAATCTTTTATGATAGTGACAACAGTTTTGATGGAAATGAAATGTTTTACTGGTGGCCAGTCATTTATTTTAGCTGATGTATTGAAGTTGATGGTTCATGTATACCACGGTAGAATTCATTTTCACTAAGTGACCATAACTCAAACTGCTCACAGCAGCCACCTGTCTATAATAATTTCTGTGATCCTGAGTGACACTTATGGGTGTGCAAAACATATTTTGATACTGACTTTTTCAAGGGCATATCCATCCCTCGTAAATTTTTTTTGTGTCACTTGTCTCAGGAATTGGTGAAGTTGATATGTCTAGATGCTTCGATACTTACCAAGTGAATTATGCTAGAGTATAAGTTGTTTTGGAAATAGTTGTCTTTTATTAATCTTTTGTTTCCTCATATTTTTTTTCTAGCGCTATGTCTTTCTTTGCAGGCCAATTACTGCCGATGACTTGAAAGAGCTTAGTCCAGATGTTGGAAAGTAAGTTCTGAGCTTTGTGCTGTTAGCAAAAAGTAATCAGTAAATCTTTCAAGTCAATAACACTTCTGTTACATTTTACAAAAAGTGTGTAGTACTTTGTCAGATTTTTATTTGCCATTTTGAGTGTAGGTGCTCAGTGATTGCAATTGAGTCTGAGCTGGTGAGTTTACACATGGAGCATGAAGGTGCAAAAATGTGATGATGGAGTGAATGAGAGGTTTTTATTTCTAGTGAACAAAACTGAATGTTGTCAAATGACTGCTCATTTACCTGCTCCTAGTATAAGATGAGGTCCTGTGAAAAGTACAGTTTAGGTGAATTTCTTTAGAACTGCAATCATTAGCCACAGTTCTTCAGTGGAAATGTCACTCTTGTGTACTGGCCAGAGTTGTACCGTCAATGTTTTTTACCTTTGATATTAAGTTTGAAAACATGTATATTTTGCTCCTTAACCATTTGCTTTTGCATACTCATAGTGTACTATTTTTGAACAGGGGTTTACAAGATCTGCTGGACTTTGATGGGGATGAGTTTGAAGATGTCTTCTCCTTGTACTTTGAGGTGAGAGTCTTTATGTTTATTCAGAAGTGTCTTTTTTCTCCAGCTGTTGGTAAAAGATAAACATATTCACTCTGCCTCTGGGTTTAGTTTTATGATAAGTTGGCTCAATATTTGCCACCTTTCATAACACAAGATTAGAGATTGTGAAGATTAACATTTTTGTCTCTCATTTTTTATCTTCAGGTGATGACAGAGCAGTTTGGTGAGCAAAAGTCAGTGGAACTCTGTGAGGATGGGAAAAATGTCTCTGTCAATCAAAACAATAAGTAAGTGTTGTTTTAAAAAAAAGTGAAAATAACATTCATATATTGGTGTATGGTATGCTAAGATTTAGATCAGTGGTTCTCAACCTTTTTCAATACACGACCCCCTTTTGATTGTTTGGCCAGTGAAACGACCCCTCATGCCCCAACCTCCAAATAACGTAATAAATCCACCCTTTTAATCCCCCCCCCCCCCCCCCCCGAAATGCGTACAATCCAGCAGGAGACAATTAATAAGGCCTACGTTACGTAGTTAATACAGAGCAATAACTGTACCTTTCATGTTTCAAATCATTCACATTTCTTTCAAGCAAATACAAATCGAGAAAAAGGAGAAAACACACACACACACGCACGCACGCACGCACGCACGCACGCACGCACGCACGCACGCATGCACGCACGCACGCACACACACAGACACACTTACACACGCACACTGATTTAAAGGGGAAAAAAACTAGTGAGCAGGCTGTGCCTGTAGTTCGGCGACAAGTCTTGAAATTCTCACGGAAGTGTTGGATAAAGCAAGGCGCATATATCATCAGCAACATCCAGCTTGTTCCTTGCTTTTGTCTAGAGTTGGACAAGGGTTGAAAAATCCACTTTCGCAAAGGTAAGTAGAGGCAAATGGGACAATGACTCAAAATGTTTTGCTGACCCAAGGTTATAATTCCTTGAGTGAACACCAAAATTGTGCAAGAGATTTCTCAAGAAACGAGTCGCGGGCTGACGAATCATGTCTTGATTCCGAAAGCTCGTCTTGAATGCCATCTGCAATGAGTGAAAGGGTTTCTCACAGAAGCTTCTTCACCACAGTCAAGGTCAGGAAAATAGTTCTTGAACTCATCTCCAACTGATTTCGAATGTGCAGGTATATCAACTTGAAGATCAGCAGACAAGGTCTCCTCTGAATTTGACAGCTGTGAAAGGTCGGTAAACATAGCAATGTTTCCCTTTGTAACTTTCCGGTGCCAATTCTGAACTTTTGAAAGAAAGCCACTCAGAATGTATTTAAACTGTAGAAAGTGTGTCTGCTGACATTGAAGTTTCAAGTTGAATTTGTTGAGGTAGTCAAACACATCAGACATAGATCTATAGGCAAATCATTGGATCCACAAATCATTTGAGAAGTGCATACTGACCTCATCTTTTCCTTGCACTTCCAGGAAGAACTTGATCTCCTCTCTCAGCTCGAAGACCCGACATACAAAGTTTCCTTTCGATAATCATCGAAGATTGAGTGTAGAAAAGCAGTGTTTCATGATCTGCACTCATGTCAGAACAGAGTTCCTTGAACAGTCGTGTATTTAGGGGGCTGCGTTTCATGTAGTTGACAATCTTAACAGTCGATACAAATGTTTCCTTCAAAGTGGGATTGAGAGTCTTGCAAGCTAGTACATATCTATGTATCATGCAGTGAATGCCTTTTGCGTGTGGTGCTTTGTCCGTCCCTTTTGCCTGAAAGCCCGACTTAGATCCCATCATGGCTGGGGCACCATCAGTACAAATGCCCCACACATTCTTACGCTAAAGATCCTCCTTTTCAAAAGATGAGGATACCTTGTTCATGACATCATCAGCTGTTGTTGAAGTGACCAGTGGAGTGCAAAATAAAAATTCTACTTTCACATCTTTTTCCAACACGTATCTCACGTATCTCACAAAGACCAGTAACTGTGAGCACGATGCGACATCAACTAATTCGTCAAGCTGGAACGAGAACACAGGGGAAGCTTTGATCTTCTCTACAACCTGTTCCTCAATGTTTGAAGACCTGTGTGCAATAGCCTCTTGACACCTAACATCAGCTGTGCCATCTTTATTGTGTAAAGCTTGATAAGTGTTTCTCTAATTGTGTATGGTCTCTCTCTCTCTCTCTCTCTCTCTCTCTCTCTCTCTCTCTCTCTCTCTCTCTCTCTCTCTCTCTCTCTCTCTCTTCACA